AAATAATGTATTCATTTGGACTGAAGACAGCTTTATAATTCAGTGAAACTTTTCAAAAATATTGTCGCCTATTTAAAATGTCCATATTTATCATACTGTGGTGATTATTACATGAAGTACACCCACCTTAGTAACCGCGCCTAGTTTAAGATAACTACTTATAAAGAGACATTTTGTAGATTTTAATTTAGTGTTGAGTAAAGCCTTATTTCGAAAGGTTGTTCTTTGGTGTTTACTTGAATTCAAACTTCTACTTCAAACTTCTACTACAATTCGAATCCCTTTACAAGCGCTGCTGTTACGGCATCTAACGGACATGACGAAAATAATGAAGAAGGACTAAGCGAGAGGTATTTAGCATCCACTTCACGTTCCGCTAAGTGCTTCTTTTGTGGTAATAAGCAACACCCCCGGTCTTTATGCCCTGCGAAAGAAGCTATTTGTAATAAATGTAAAAAAAGAGGGCACTACCAAAGAGTTTGCCGTTCTTCAGCAGTAGTCTCTAATTTAACGCAATCAGCTTACATAACTCTAGCTGCAATGGGGGAGTCATTGCTAAGTTCATGTATTGACATTCGTTTAAAAGAAAGAACTGTTACAGCTCTGGTAGATTCAGGAAGTACTCTTTGCTTCATACATCCTGATTTGGTTGAGCAACTCTCATTGACAGTTCATCAGACCAAAGAAAAAGTTACGATGGCTACATGTAGTTATTCCACAAAAATGCAAGGATATTGTCTTAGTGATATAACGTTAAAAGGCCGGTTGTATTTTTAGGTTAAGCTATATATTCTGCCCAGTCTGTGTACTCATGTCATTCTAGGACAAACTTGGCAAGCCCTGCACGAAAGTGTCACTATCGAGTACGGTGGTTCTGCTCCTCCTTTGAAACTTTGCAGTTTAACAGCTTTGAACCTAGACCCCCCACTTTTGTTCCAACATTTAACACAGGGCTGTAAACCGATAGCTATTAAATCAAGGAAATATAGCCGAGAAGACAAAGAATTTATTACAACTGAAGTACAAAGGCTTCTAGATGAAGGTATAATTGAACCGAGTGAATCACCGTGGAGAGCACAAGTGGTCGTAACTAGAAACGATCGACAAAAAAAAAGATTAGTGATTGACTACTCGCAAACTATAAATAGATTCACACACCTGAATGCTTATCCTCTGCCTAGAATAGATGACATCGTCTCTAAAATCGCTCAGTACAAAGTTTTCAGCACCGTTGATTTGAAAAGTGCGTATCACCAAGTCCCAATTCAAAAAGAAGAAAAGAAATATACTGCTTTCGAAGCTAACCAGCGTTTGTACCAATTCCGTCGAGTACCATTTGGAGTAACAAATGGAACAGCAGCTTTCCAAAGAATGATGGACAACTTCGTCGCTAAAGAATGTCTAGAAGACACGTTTGTGTATCTTGACAACATCACGATTTGTGGCCGGGACCAAGCCCAGCATGACATAAATCTCAAAAAGTTCCTTCAAGCAGCTAGAAAGCGAAATTTGACGTTTAATCAAGACAAATGCTCCTTCTCAACAACCAGTATTTGTATCCTCGGTAGTATAATCGCTAATGGAGAAATAAAGCCGGACCCGGCACGATTGCGACCTCTGCGAGAGTTACCTGTCCCCAGTGATTTAAAAGAACAGAAACGGATTGTGGGTCTCTTTTCCTACTATTCTCAATGGATCAAAGACTTTGCAGCAAAAGTAAGACCACTGACACAGAATACTGTATTTCCAATGGTAGGCGATGCTCTTACTTCGTTTAATCTACTTAAGTCCGATGTCGAAAAATCTGTGGTCCAAGCTGTTGACGAAGCACAGCCCTTTCAGGTGGAAACAGACGCTTCCGAGTTTGCTCTTTCAGCCACTCTCAACCAAAACGGTCGCCCAGTTGCGTTCTTTTCGAGGACGTTAAGCGGATCAGAACTTAAGCACGCTTCAGTGGAGAAAGAAGCAGCGGCTATCGTAGAAGCCGTGAGGAAGTGGAGACACTACCTTACGGGTAAGCATTTTATGTTAATTACTGATCAGAAGTCAGTAGCTTACATGTTTGATACCAAGCAAAGAGCAAAATTAAGAACGATAAGATAATGAGATGGAGGATGGAACTATCCACTTATGATTTTGATATAATCTACAGAGCAGGAGAAGAGAATGTACCAGCGGATACATTTTCTAGGATAAGAGCAATGAGCATGACCTCCGATAAGCTGATAGAGCTTCATGAATCCTTGTGTCACCCAGGAATAACGCGGATGGCACATTTTGTAAAAAACCGTAATCTCCCTTTCTCTATGGATGAAATTAAGCTCATGACACAGTCCTGCAAGATATGCAGGGAAAGTAAGCCTCAATATTACAAAACAGAAAATTTCCATTTAGTAAAAGCGACTCAACCCTTCGAGAGACTTAGTTTGGACTTCAAAGGACCATTGCCGACGACTAATCATAATAAGTTTCTTCTTACTATAATAGATGAATATTCAAGATTTCCTTTTGCTTTCGCTTGTAAAGACGTTAGCGCGGAGTCAATTATAAATTGTCTCTGCGAATTGTTTTCGATTTTCGGTATGCCTGCTTACATACATTCGGATAGAGGTTCTGGCTTTATGAGTGCAAAAGTTAAAGACTTTCTCCTCCAGAAAGGAATCTCGTCAAGCCGAACCACACCATATAACCCAGAAGGGAACGGCCAAGTAGAACGTTTGAACGGCACTCTATGGAAGACTATTTCCCTCGCGATGAAGACGCGAGGACTACCGACCAGCTGCTGGCAAGAAGTTTTGCATGATGCTCTTCATTCCATCAGATCTCTGTTGTGCACCGCTACTAATGTAACACCGCATGAACGCCTCTTTATCCACCAACGAAGATCGACGAGTGGAACTTCCATACCAACGTGGCTATCCAAACCTGGACTGGTACTGTTGAAGCGTCAAGTAAAACAATCTAAGTATGACCCATCTGTCGATGAAGTAGAGCTAATCGAAGCAAATCCTCAGTATGCGCATGTAAAATTTCCCGATGGAAGAGAAGATACCGTAGCCACTAAGTTCCTCGCTCCACAAGCTGAGGAAAAAGAGAAGTTATGCGAGAAACCGCTACCACTATCGCCTTATAAAGATAATACTGTAGACGACCCACGTCAATCTCCTTTGGCCACAAAAGACGCTAGGAAACTAAATAATAGTTCGCCAAAGAAGGAAAGAGAAGGGAACTCACTACTAGAGGATCCCGCTCTACCTGATCAGTCGTCTTCACAACAGACACTACCGTTACGCCGCTCGCAGAGAGAAAAGGAACAACCCGACCGCCTGACATATACATGACATTGAACTAAAAGAAAAAAAGACAATCGGGCAGGACCAGTCTTATTTAGATCATTTAAGTTAGATTATATAGTTATTTCAAATAGGAGAGGGTGATTGTAGTGATTATTACATGAAGTACCCCCACCTTAGTAACCGCGCCTAGTTTAAGATAATTACTTATAAAGAGACATTTTGTAGATTTTAATTTAGTGTTGAGTAAAGCCTTATTTCAAAAGGTTGTTCTTTGGTGTTCACTTGAATTCAAACTTCTACTTCACATACATGTCCTGTGCTACTCAAACTTACATCTCTGCTACTCCTTAGACTTTCTCATACAGCACCATTATTTCTCTCTAGGCGCCCTATCATTGCTTTCTCCAAATGAAAATAGAAACAATGCAGCTGCCCGATACAATCTCTGTATTTTTTTATCAGCACCCTCAAAGCCAACACTACATCTGTTGTACTCTTTCTTGGCTTAAAACCATACTGCTGCTAAAAAATACCCACTTCTGTCATAAGTTTAGCTTCCACTACTCTCTCTTTTATGACTTCATTGTGTGACTCATCCCCATCATCCTTCTTTAGTTTGATGCAAGACCAAGGGTCTCTCTTGTTTTAAAGGAGAGCTCCTTTAAAAAATCAACACCGTTCAGATAATAGCTATAACTTTTACTGGCTGATTAGTAAAATATTTTTTCTCAAAATTCTCATTTTAATAAAATTTTACGTTATATTGATGCAGACGCAGTTTTGTCAACGACTTCAATAATGAGTCATTGCGTGCTTGAAAGCTAGCGGAAACACAAAATTAATCAACGCACGCTATAAAATTTCTCATTATGCCGCATTTTTCTGTACGTTTGTGCATAAATTCTAGCCGAAAGACAAAAAGTACAAAAATTAGGTGCCAAGAATACCAAATATAAAGCTTCAAAATTACTACTAATGACACAAGTTTACAAATTACTTTCAATAAGAATGTCCTCTGCCTACTCATAGCAGTTATACCACCGTTGATTGTATACAATTTCCGTATAATAAAAAATATCAAATGGAAGGATAAAATTTCCATCAATTTTTAAAGACATTTTACAAAGTGTACGAAACAAAACATAGGAATCTTTAGATTTGCTATGAGGATAAAAGTGTTTGTTTGACAATACAAAGTTCTCCTTTGCTGCACTTTGAATTTGTATAAGGTCTGGTTGTGTTCGATGTAAACAACAAAATATTTGCATACTTTCGTAACAATGTATTTTGGAGATTTCATTAAGATTCATACTACGTATGTCAGCACAACAAGATTTGAATAAACTGCTGTAAATATGTTGCCTTTTGCGTTACAAAAACATTTTGAAGCCATTTTAAAATTTGGCTAGCATAAATAAGTCTAGGGAAACCGATACTTACTATTTCGAAGAAAATTTAAACCAATAATATTGTCTAGCCTTTTAGTGCAGTTTTGGGCTTTTCAGCAATTTCCGATGAAGGAATGCGGAAGATACACGTATCATTTTCACGAACAGTGGGGATCCAGCAGTTGGCAAAATAAATTACAACAGCCAATCAGTTGGTAAAACTCTATTCTTTAGAAATTTCTAACCAATATCATTGTCGTAAAGGTACTTTAAATTTAAAATTATCAGCTATAATATACTTTGTCAAGCCCTCAAACATTGATGTTCACCAAGAATTCGTTTCATCAAATTGTTGGAAAGCAGACCTTAAAGTGTTTCGCCAAATTTTTTTAAGGTAGGTTACGTTAGCTTTATGAAATGTTAACTAGTAGTTATCTATTTATACATGTATGTAAGCAACAGTTTTAGTTGTAAAAGTTTATTAGACGACATAAATCACTATATAGAATGTGAGACAACAAAAGAAAAGGCAAGGCAACATAATAGATATTTTGAAAATGAATCATAGCAAATAAACTACTTTTCTTTGGATTAATTAAAGCTTTCTTAACGTAGATATAAAACCTATACGATATATCAAACAAGTTTTTCCTGGGTGACGCCCAGCTTTACCTAAATTCCTTAATAATTCTGCTTCATTTCACAAATGCCTCATTCAATACTTTCAATTTATTTTGAAATTTAATTGGAATGAATATATGGGAAATCGACCATTTCTATGTCATTAAGTTAAATGGATAATTTTAAAAAGGAAAATGTGGCCAAATGCTGCAGATTATTCACTAAAAAGCGCTTCATAAGGTTACGGCATTAGCTGACAAAAATTATCTTTGTATGGCTAAATTGTATTTGAGGTGTTTTGAATTTTAATATATGCAATGACTTATTTTGCCAACCTCACTGGGAACAATGTCCGTATAAGGATATCAAATTCAACGATTAACTTTCCATCAACGTTTATCGACAGTTTACAATATGCACGAAACAAAACAAACGAAATAAAACTTTTGCGATAAATTTGTTCTTTTATGCTCCCACACTAAAAAAATTTACATAAAAATGTAAACACAAGGAGTTGCTTAGGACATAAACTTCTAAATTTTATCAGAATAAAGTAGCTACTAACTTTTAATGGAATAAAAATGCCTGGAACTTGAAGAAAATAATTTTCTTCCAGTTAACAACTAATACTGAACTTATAAACTCTGTGTTATTTCATGTTGTGATGACTTGAAGTATAATCGGTTCGATGCAAAACTTCCGGCTTTCGTATAACCAGTAATAAAATATGTTTTTGAATTAGCAAATTTTTTATGAATTTTAGCCACTGCTAGATTACATAAATCTAAAAACCAAAATAGTTAACGTGAATAAGAACATAAATGCCCAAATTTGTAATAAGAATGCTGTAAAAAGAGTAAATTTCGTAAAAGATTATCTTGACTGAAGAGATGTTTCACGAATTCGATGCTATAAAGCATTTCCCGATGAACGAATGCAGAAGATCCGTGAACCATTTTTACCAACATTGGAAATTCAGCGGTCAAGAAAATAAGTGAATGTCCATTGATTAGTTAGATTTTATTAGATAGAAATTTATATTTGCTAAAATGTAGACATAATAGTGTTCACCAGCACTTTGTTTGATATAACATTGGTTAAAAGCAGACAATTAAGTAATTCAAATAATTTCTTCTCGAAGGCATAATAAAGTTACCTTGCCAGTGAAATATTAATGAGTAGCTGTCGACATATGTATGTAGGCAATATACAGCTTAGATCGTCAACATTTGTGTTTGATGTAACATCGTCTTAATTCTAAACTGACGGGTTTCGTTTTTTATAAAAGAAAAGACGTATCTAAAATGTATATAAATATATAAATATCACAAATGTATATACTATACTTTAAAGATTATGAAGAGCATCCAATTGCGTACAATGTTTACATAAATGTACAATGTTTGTATAAATGAAATTGAACGATAAAATTTTTATAAGTTTTTATCAAAAATTTACAATGTGCACGAAATAAAAAGAAGAATCCTTTGAAGTTACTTCGTGAAAATACAATTGCTTAATGATATGAAGTACTTATATGTAATAGTTGAATGTTGTCGAAAGGAATGTGACTGTGTACAATTTACATACAACGATATATATTTGCATAAAAGTTTAATTACAACGTATGGTAGAGGTAAAGCTTTCAACACTATTGATCTATGTCTAAACTACAAATGTGAACAAAGTTATAAAATGATCTCATCAAGAACGCGTCAAGATGAAAAACGAAAACTGGGGATGACGAAATCAATAAAAGTATTTAAGATTTGTTCAATGAGAGACAACTTCCGGCAACACGTTTGACTAAAAACTTCTTTTAGTGTTTGACACAAGTTACCTTATGCCATTATGTGAAAGTCTCGTGTTGAGCATACTATACTTGTTTGCATCACAACATATTTACGAGAATTAAGAAAATGTTTATGCAGTTCGTGAATGAAAATTTTTTGCTTTAACCTGACTTGAATCATTTATCATTATGTACCATCACGATTTTTTCTCGTATATAACCATTCTGTTATACACATCAACTATATTTAAAAAACAAAACCTTTTTATTGCAGTAGAGTTAACTATTTTGCAATACAATAGCCCTGGACAATATGGTGTTAGCGAACGAGAAGTTATTAAACTAATCACACTTCATATCATCAAAACATAGATAACGAAAGAGTACATTGGTGGAAATTTGAGTCGAGCCAAGCCCTTACCCCAATGCCAGCCCTTAACAGTTCCAATAGGTTTTTGATATCAAAACGCTAATCTATTCTAAAGAATTAATAAGATTTTACACATGTTATTCAAAAACAAGTTGACACTTCACAAAATGACTTTTCTTGTGGAAGCAGAGCTGCTCCCTTTGTCAAAATCTGTACACGAAGAGGTTCATTAACTTTACATAAAATGAACTTAAATAAAAATATTTTGAAATCGGAAAGCTGCTAGGAGAAAAACTTCAGAGACAATCTTTTTCTTTAATGCTCAAATATACAAACGTAATTTATCTGAAAATGAAAAAACAAGGAGTTATAAACCGATAAATTCCGACAGATGTTCTAATTTTCAATAAAAAAAATGCCTAGAAGAGAATGATTTTCTTAAAGTTGACAACTATTGCTGAACTCATACAGTCTATGTTATTTTCAATGTTTTAATGACAAAAAGTGTCCTCAGTTCAACACAAAACTTGGGGCTATATTGTATTACTCGGTAATAAAACATATTTTTGAATTTGAAGTGTTTTTGAACTTTACCTAAAACATAAAATTCAGAAACCCAACATAGTTAACCTAAAAAAGAACATAAATGCATAAAATTGTAAAAAAATTCTGCAGAAGAAATAAAATCAGTAAAAGATTATGTTGATTGAGAAGATTTTTTATGAAATTGGGGCTACATGTGGCATTTCCAAATAAAGGAATGTGAAAGATCCGTGTTTCATTTTGACCAATAATGGGAATCCAGCCGTCAGCAAAATAAACAAATACTCATTGATAGGTTGGATATTATCATTTGTTACGATAAAACATACCATTTGTTAATAAAAAAGACTTTGCCAAAAGTTAGTTACACCATTGTCCACCAAGACTTCGTTTGATCTACGTTGGTAGGAAGTGAAAACGTTTTAGTAATTGAAAGAATTTCCCAATGAAAGTAAGTTGCCTTGTGAGTGAAATGTTAACTAGTAGTCGTCTATTTATGCAAGTAGGCAACAGATTTCAATAAACCATCATTAATATTTTGTGCATTGCGTTACATAAATATAGAAATATCTAAGTTTGAAAATTGGTAATCCAGGCATTTAATTCATAAAAGATAAAAGTTTCTAAATGATTTTTATTGACCTTTCGACTCGTTGCTTCGAGCCTTCGTCAGAATGAGGATATTATTTATTTACACGTGCTTTTAACTTGGAGACGCTCAGAGCGTCTACTTGTATTAGCGGGTGGATTAATGTCATCGGATGGGGTGAAATGCGTTTCCATGGGTTTTGGTGTATTGTGAACATGATCGGTGTTAATAATATTAGAGTGTAGTGTTGTAGTTTTGGTGTTGTTTGTAGTTTTATTGTCCTTTTTCTTTAGTTGTGAGTATGTGATGGGTATGTCGATATTTCTGTTTATTGTGTCGTTGTCTTTACTGTATCAAGCTTTTTAAATTCGCGTTCGTGTTTAGTCTGTGCGCCTCCGAGTACTTTAGTTTCTGTCCAGTCGAATGTGTGGTTGTTTCCGTAGGTATGTTATGCCGGTAGTGAGTTCGGATCTCGTCGTTTTATGGCGTTTTTGTGTTCTGTGAGTCTTGTTTCAATTTTCTTAGATGTTTGTCTTATGTATTGCTTTGAACAGTCCTTACATGGTATCATGTAGATCGCGTCAGTTGTATCATGAATTGTTGTTTTGTCTTTATGTTTGATGAAACATGATTTGAGTTTTTGTGTAGGTTTGTGGGCGACGTTAATATTAAATGGTCGAAGAAGTCTGGCAGTAAATTCTGATGTTCCCTTTATGTATGGTAATGTGACGATTTTTACTGTTTCGTCCGGTTTTTTGTTGCTTTTGTCGGTTTGTGTTTTGTTTTGTATTTTGTATATAGTTTTGTTTATGAAGTTTCTAGGGTAATTGTTTTTAATAAATGTGGAGTATAAGTAGTTGCGTTCTGTTTTTTTGGCTTCTTCCGTATTACAATGAGTGTTTATCCTGTTGAAATGTGTTCGAATGCAGCTTATTTTGTGTTGTGTTGGATGATTGATGTTGAAATCAAGTATTTGGTCTTTGTGGGTGGTTTTGCGGTATACTTGTATGTTTAGTGTACCGTCATCTGTTCTGGTTAGTATGATGTCGAGGAAGGTAAGTTGTTTGTCGTGCTCTTCGTCTTTAGTAAAGGTAATGTTCTTTGTGGTATTGTTTATGGTGTGTAGGATTTGTTCAGTTTTGTCTTTCTTGACTATGGCAAAGATGTCGTCGACATATCTTTTCCATAGTCTGATGTTTGTGTTTTTAGTGACTGATTGTGTTTCAAGGTGTTGCATGACAGCTTCTGCGAGGAATTTGGATAGTGGTGATCCCATTGGTGTGCCTGAAATTGGTCTCTAGTATGTGTTTTGGAAGGTGAATTCAGTGGAGAGGCAAAGGTTGTGTAAGTCTAGGATGTCATTTTTGTCTAGCCGTGTTGTAGCTTGCCAAGTTTTGTCGTTTGTGAGTAGTTCGTTTGTAATTTGTTTGGCGATGTCTAGTGGTATGGATGTGAAGAGTGATGTCACGTCGTAGGATATCACGATTTCGTCTGGTCGTAGTTTAATGTTTTCAATACTGGCGAGGAAAGTGGTGGCATTTCTGATGGTGTGAGGTGAACTTTTGACTAATGGATACAGAATGTTATAAAGATATTTTGAAAGTTCATACGTAGGTGATCCTGGATGTGTTATGATAGGTCGAAGTGGGTTGTTTTCTTTGTGGATTTTTGGTAGTCCGTAGAATTTGGCGGTGGATGCGTCATTGGGTCGGATTCTTCTGTAGTCGTTTTCGTTTAGTTTCTTTTTATCTTTTAGTTGTTTCAGTTTCTGGTTGATGCGGTTGGTGGTCGTTTTGCTGGGGTCTGTGCGGAGAAGTTCGTAGGTGGTGGTGTCTTGTAGGAGGGTTTTGGCTTTGTCGATGTATTCTGATCTGTCCATGATAACTGTTTTGCGTCCTTTGTCAGTTCGTAATATGATTATTTGGTCGTCGTTTTGTAGGTTTTTATTTGCTCGTAGTTTAGGGTGACAGGTGGTTTGTGGCAGAGATTATTTGTAATTTTTTGACGAATGTGTTCTTTCGTTTGGTCTGTTAAGTTGGTGCACTTTAAAGCGGATTCCAGGTCGGCAACGTAGTCGAGTTTGTTCGCGTCTTTAAAGTTGTAATTTAATCCTTTGTTTAAAATTTTAGTTTGCTGTTCGGTTAGTGGTTTGTTTGAGATGTTTGTGACAAATTCATTTGTGTTGGAATGGAGTTGTTTGTAAGATCTGGATTCTTGTAATTTTCGATGAAGTTCGTGGTGTCGTTTTGTTCGATATGCGGATGTTGCTTTTTTGATGGCTTTATTAATGGATTTGGTGTCTGATTGTGTAATGTATGTTGTTACGGTTTCTCGATGTTCTTGTAGTTTATGACGGTAGATTCGTGAGCGGTTGTGGGCATCTGATATGAGGACGTTTAACATACGGAGCCGTTTGATTGTGCAATTTGTTGAGCGTGAGTTGTTTTTAATGGTGGTCGATAGTTTTAATGGTGGTCGATCAACACCAAAACTAAAACACTACAATCTAATATTATTAACACCAATCATATTAACAATACACCAAAACCCATGGCAACGCATTTTACCCCATCCAATCACATTAATCAACCCAATGTGGCCTGGATGCTGGACAAGTCAGTGCAGCAGACAGCCGGTCCCAAGCCCGGATTAACACAGAGGGTGGATGTCAGGAAGAGCATCCGGTCTTTAAAAGAATATGCCACATGATAATATGCCGGAGACAATCAGAAGAGAAGACAATGCTAGGGCATACCCTGTAAGCGATGCGCAGCGGCACTACTGTCTTGACGCTGTGAAAAGAATGCAAGCGAGACAGAAGAGACAGAAGAACTTGAGAGTTGCGACCCTAAACATTGGGATGCTGACTGGATAGAGCAGAGAAATAGCAGACATGATGAAGAGGAGGAGGATCGACATACTATGCTTACAAGAGACAAGATGGCTGGTGGGAAATCAGGAGGGAAGGCAAGAAACATCGGAGAGAGCTACAAGCTGTACTACAACGGAGGGGGAAAGCCAAAGAATGGAGTGGTTTTATGCCTGAGTGAGGAATGGCAAGATAAAGTGATAGAGACCAGAGAAAGTCCGATAGAATCATAACTATGAAACTGGTAACACCTGACAAGACGTTCAACATCGTGACTGCCTATGCACCTCAGCAAGGTTGTGAAGAAGACGAGAAGCAGAGATTTTGGAACCAACTTGAAGAAGTGACCATCAATGTGAAGGAAACAGAACAGCTGATTGTGGCAGGAGATCTCAAAGGGCGCATCAGAAGTGAGAGAGTAGAGGGATTGGAGAGATGGCATGGAGGAAAGTCAATCGGAAGAAGGAATGAAGAAGGAGATAAGATCTTAGACTATGCAAGGAGCAAGGACCTCGCAATGGTAAACACATTCTTCACACAGAGGGATGGAAACACCTACACGTACAAAAGTGGCCTTAGCCAGACCGTGATAGATTTCATCATGATAAGGAGAGCTGACCTAGGCGATGTTAAAAATTGTAAGTTTATTCCTGGTGAGGAAATTGCACTGCAGCATAGACTCTTTGTGATGGATTATAAGATCAAGAAGAGGAGAAGAATAAGAAGAGAGAGACCGAAGAAGATCAACTTGTAGAAACTACATAATAAGGAAGGAGATGAGCTGGAAAGTAAGATCACAGAAATGCTAATGGAACAAAGCATAGTGGGAGAGTGGAAATGGAATGAAACATACCCCAATATACTAGAAGCAGCAAAGGAGACACTGGGAGTTAGTAGAGGTGGGAAATACATAGAAAAAGAATCCTGGTGGTGGAATGAAGAAGTACAAGAGGCTGTGAAGAACAAGAAAGAAGCTTTTAAGAGATGGAAGAGATCTGGTTTGGAGGAAGACAGGGAGACTCTGAGAGAAATGAACAAGATCAGTAAAGAAAAGTGTGCGATTGTTAGAGAGAAAGGTCAGGAACAACTATACAAAGATCTGGAGCAAAACGGACCGAAAAGAATCTACAAGTTGCAACGAACGTTGGTGAGACTGAGAAAATTTAAGTGAGGTCGGGTTACATCAAGGCTCGGCACTAAGCCCCCTACTCTTTATTATCATTATGGATGTAATCTCGGATGACACGACAGAGGACACACCTTGGAGTATGCTGTTTGCAGATGATTTGGTCTTGTGTGATGAGAAGAGAGAACATCTGGAAGGAAGACTAGAAGATTGGAGAAGAATATTAAAAGATGTTGGCTTGAAAGTTAGTAGACCCAAGACGGAGTACCTCCTACCGAGTGGCTGAATAGGAAACATGAAGCTAAGAGAATATGCTGGACCCGGAAATACAGATCTACCAAAGTGCGAGACATTTAAGTACCTCGGGACCACCATCCTTCAGGATGGCGGTTGCAAGACTGAGGTTGAACTACGGATTAGCAGTGCATGGAATAAATGGAGGGAGTTTACGGGAGTGCTCTGTGATAAGAAGATGCCGAAGAAACTGAAGATCCTCATCTACAAAATGGTGATACGCCCAGTGCTTCTGTATGGAAATGAAACATCGTCTGCTACAGACTACCTAGCAGAGAAGATCAGTGTATGCGAGATGAGAATGATACGCTATTGTCTTGGAGTCAGCCTGGAGGAGCACAGAACAAATGAAAGCATAAGAGAAGAAGCGAATGTCATGAGTATACTGAAATTGATGAGAAGAAAAAGACTGCAGTGGTTCGGACATGTGTGCCGGCGTGAAGAAGATGTAGACATTCGGAGAGTTTATGAGATGCAAGTGGAGGGGAGACGGAAACGAGGACGCCCAAAACATCGGTGGAAAGATACCATCAGGAGAGACATGCAGCTATGTGGTGTCAAAGAAGAGGATACCCAGGACAGAGCAGCCTGGAGAAGTCTGATAGAACTGGGTCTCCAGCAAAGACCCGCTACCCGAGCAGTACACAGCGGAGAAAGGTGACAAAGGTGACAAAATCACATTAATCCACCCACTAATCCAATTAGACGTTCTAAACGTCTCCAAGCTAAAAGCACGTGTAAATAAATATCCTAATTCTGATGAAGGCTCGAAGCAACGAGTCGAAAGCTCAATAAAAATCATTTAAAATCCGGAGAAACTTTTATCATTTAAAATCCGGAGAAACTTTTATCTTTTTAGATATATATATATATACATATAATAGAAGAACGATAAAATTGCCATTAATTTTTATCCGCATTTTACAAAGTGCACCAAACAACACAAAGACTCCTTTAAAGTTACTTTGTGAATAATATATTCCTTTAATATTATAAAGTACTTATATGTAATACTTAAATGGTTTTGAAAGGATGTGACTGTGTACAATTTTTATATCACAATTTATATTTGCATAAAGAAAGTAAAGGTTTTCGTTCCAAATTTTATTTTAATAGCATGTAACAAAAGTTCAAAAATGGGTGAATATACTGACAACTAAGCTTTTGAGACAAAAACTGCCAAAAATTCCAATCTTATAGGGCAACAATACAACAACAGGCAGAAAAGCGAAACTAGAGAATAGATAAAATAACACATAACTTTGCTTGACTTTCATCCGTATGAAATTTACTTATGCAGATGGTCATTAATTCAGTGAAACGCACTCCGAATGCCGCCTTTATTAATGCATTTTTATTACTAATCATGAAAGAACCTCAACCGATCACGTCGAGTTTCGATTGAAAGATACACATCTACACCAGACACAGTTGAATAACAAATACAGAAATTCACTGCATAGATCTACGACTTTCTTAGAACTACATTGATATATGCTTGCAGATTTATTTATTTAATTTTCCATAAACGATAATTTTCGTTTTAAGGTAGGCTACCTGCCATTGCACGTTTAATATTTAATTAAGATATATTTAAGATTTAGACTTGAATTGTTGTGTTTAATTTATATTTCTTTTACAGCTACCTTAACAAACTTTGTAATGAAAAATTTTAGGCATATGCAACAAAATCTCGGCATTCGGCAATACTGGTTTTGAAACAATCCAAAATGTTTTAGCAATAATAATAAAGCGTAGTTCTATCTTCGTTCATTTCATTGTTTTTATGGTGCATGCGTAAAAATCCTCTTAGCAAATATTTTATTGGTTAAATCTCATCAAGAACGCTTTAAGATGAGAAACAAGAATTTTCAATGACGAAATCTTTGGAAGGCTTTGTTCAATCAGAGGCAACTTCCAGCAACAAGTTAGGCTGAAAATTTCTTCTGATATTTTTTGGTTTGCTGCACATATGCAGTGACATAATTTACCTCACGTCATAATGTGAAATTCTCGTAAGGAAAAGACGACACCTGTTGTCGTCAAAATATATAAACGATAAAAAAAAAGAAGACAAAAGTTATTATGATGTACCATGAAATTTTTTCTCGTATACAACTGTTCTGTTAAACACACAGAAAGTTGTGCAACACCCGAAAATGCATGATTTTGAATATGCTGGAATATTCAAAATCGTTAATGAAAAGTGAAATTGCAGCTTTCCGTTTCACTATGATAAACTTTATAAAAAAATTTAAAACCCATTCATCAACGTACCTTAACAATTCCAACAATTTATGAATAACAAAAAACGAATCGGTTGCAAATTAAAAACTAAAGTTAGTAGAAGAACATCCTGGAAAATTTTGTTCTAGACTCATGAACTCTCTGATCTTGTTAATGTTGTGATGACAAATATCGTCAACTAATACAAAACTTCCCACTATTGACATTGTATTGCCTTGTTTACACATATTTTTAAAGGAGAATGAATCGTTTGCTGCGCTATTAGAGGTTCAAAATCTACCTAATCCCTAATCCGTTTGAAAGTGTTTTGAAATTTACATTGGTAAAATGAATAGTATCTGCAGCAACAATGAATTTGCAATATTGACATGCAACATGAGTCGATAAATTTAGAACGAAAATATTGCAAAAATCGCTGATTAACCACTGGGTTACATAAAATTTGCTAAAACAAACAAACACACGCATTAAGACCGCTTAAAGGAACATTGTTGTTTTCGCAACAGCATAAGGTGTCCATTCTATGAAAAATTTCGAAAGATATTTGTCAGTGTACATGATTTATAATTTATTGTTTAAAATGCTGTGTTTAATAGCACATATTGAAATTATTCTTCTCAGAAAGCAACGCCGCCCTCCCCTCTCTTCTCTCCCACGAGAACTACTTCAAATAAAAATCCCAGGAGATTTATATAAAGACTCGGAATTAAATCCCAAAGTCAGCATTTATGACTTTCTTTGATCGACATTGCTGTCTGCAAGATTTGTCTACAAATCTTCCTTATAAGGTTGCTTCCTTATAAGGTAAGCTACATGTCAGTGCACATTTTATAATTAATTGTTTAAAAATACACATTTAAGTTATGGGTTTGAACATGTTGTGTTTAAAGCCAAAGATCACGAGAAAGTAGGAGAACAGAAACGACGGAAGCCAAGGTTTATCACTTTAAATGAAACTAAAGACAACTAAGTAATTTGCTTTATTTTAAATTTTCAATAAATGTAGGATATGGAAAATCGTGCAACAGCAACGAATGAAACAAGCCAGTTGGAAACAAAAATATTCAACGATCCAATTCATGGCTTCATCGAGCTTCATCCTTTGTTGGTCAAAATTATCAACACACCACAATTTCAGCGTTTGAAAGATATCAAGCAGTTGGGAATCTGTGACTTCGTTTACCCTGGAGCAACTCACACTAGGTATAGTTATTGGTACAAAAATGTCATGCGATCTCATTCATAATCGATGTAATCGAGGATGTTCAAACCAGCATAAATATTCACCTTAAAATTTTGATTTCAAACAGGTTTGAACATTCTCTTGGAACATCTTATTTGTGTGGGATATTGATAGATACATTACAAGAGCTTCATCGTGGAGAGATTGAGATCACAGATGAAGAATGCATGTGTATCAAAATAGCCGGACTTTGTCATGATCTTGGCCATGGACCGTTCTCTCATTTCTTTGAAGAGTACATCAAAAAGAAAAAACCTAAGTGGAAGCATGAGGATGCGTCTTGTAAACTTTTCGATTTCATGCTCAAGAAAAACTCAGAACTTAGGCAGAGTTTTAAATATTTCCGACTTGGAAAGGAAGACAAAAAATTCATCAAGGAACTTATCAAAGGTATTGCCAAACGCAGGGATCGTTACCTACATAGTGCACAAAGCTTTTTCATTTGAAATGTATAAAATAAGAAACACCTAATATTACAGACACAAATTGTATTTAATTTTGATACGCTTTGATTCTGAATGCACATTTTAAACTTAATGTCTGAAGCCTGTCACTGCTGTCTGTTCATTTTCTAAAGTAGCTATCAAAATTATGGTAACACTATCTCTACAAAAATGAAATTTTGTCCTCATTGAGTTGACATATTGTTCCATTAAATTTCTCACTTCTTGTGTGATATAATTCTGAAATAAAAAATTGACATCCAGTTGATAAGGCTTTCAGGTTTCTTATTACTGACTACTTTCATTATTTATTATTCCTCCCAAATTATTATTCCAGTAACACAACTCCACATTTATATTACAGTCGTCCAAGACTTTATAAATTCTTGTTGTATGCAGGTAAAGACCCCAACAAAGAAGAAAAGGTAGAAAGGATATGTCCATTTACAGGTCAACCAAAATGGTTTCTTTATGAAATCGTGTCAAACAAACGAAATGGTATCGACTGTGACAAGTTTGATTATTTTGCCCGTGACTGCGCTAATGTTGGAGTGAAATGTACTTTTGACCATCGACGCTACTTTCAAAATGTTCGCATCATGTCTAACCCTAATAACAAACAACTTCAGATCTGTGTACGCGACAAAGAGGTGTTTAACTTGTATGAATTATTCCACACCCGTTGGTCCCTCCATCACAGAGTTTACAAGCACAAAACTCTGGCACCAATAGAAGACCTGCTATATAAGGCGTTCAGGAAAGTTGACAAAGTCATGAAAATTTCCGAATCAGTGGAAAAAGCCAAGAAAAAGAAAAAAAATATGAAGAAAAAAAATATGAAGAAAAAAAATATGAAGAAAAAAAATATGAAGCAATATTCTGTTTTAACAGATAGCATTCTCTACGATATACTGCGAAACAGGGACCCTGATTTCGCAGACGCAAAGAAGAAGATAAGACGCATACAAAAACGAAAGCTGTACAAATTTTGCGGCCAAAGCTCTCTAAAATCAAATGACGACAAAGCAAGTGAACTACAATCGAAGTTCAAATCTCTCTGCGAAATAAAAATTGCCGAAGACTTGGTTAACTTATCGGGAGGAAAGTTGAAAAGAGAAAATATATTTGTTTCAAAAGTAACGATCAATTTTGGAATGAAGCGTAAAAATCCAGTTGAGGCTGTGATGTTTTTCGATAAATCTCAACGCAAACCATTTGAAATAAAGAGAGAACAAGTAAGTGAAATGTTGCCACGAAGTTTCCAGGACAGATATATCAGAGTTTACGCAAAAGAATCCGAAAGCGAAGAGGAATCCGAAAGCGAAGAGGAATCCGAAAGCGAAGAGGAATCCGAAGGAGAAGAGGAATCCGAAAGAGAAGAGGAATCCGAAAGCGAAGAGGAATCCGAAAGCGAAGAGGAATACGAAAGCAAAGAGGAATCCGAAAGAGAAGAGGAATCCGAAGGAGAAGAGGAATCCGAAGGAGAAGAGGAATCTGAAGGAGAAGAGGAATCTGAAGGAGAAGAGGAATCCAAAAGCGCAGAAAAAAACAAAAACGCAGAACGAATGGAAATGCTGATCGAACATATCAAAGATTCCTTCGAGAATTGGTGCCAAGAAAATGGCTTTGAAAAACCTTTTGGAGGATAAAGAAAGACATTTTGATGTCATTATCACAGAATAATGATTGTCACAGAATAAGGGTCACTCAGGTGTACATAGCGCGTCCTCATTTCGGCCATTATTCCAGCCAGATGATTAGGGTTTATAACTTGTTTTCAACCATCATAATTACATTACTTCATTATTGAATAATGAATTTGAGATTAAGAAAAGACTTTCGGATAATTGCAAAGGTTGAGAACGAGTAAAAAACCCTTATCAACCGGCTGGACAAAAACATCAAGGTTCCAACACGAGTGACCCTTCTGTATATTTTTATTCTGTGTCGTTATTAAGTAGCTCTGATTTAAAATTGTATTTAGTATAATTTCTCCATAACTTAATCACAAGAACGTATCCAGAATTCAAAACACCAATCATCATGTATTTAATGCAAACATTGCACTTAAAACAGTAAAAGTATAAAAAAATGTAAAAGATCGAAGCACAAGTGAAACATAGGGACGAACGACATCTTAACGTTTGCCATTTGTAGTTTATATTAAATAAGCACAAATCGTATTAAATTCAATAAAATGATTCAACAAGTACGATAATGAAATTTCAACTTTCATTTAAAAATGCATGCGAATCTCACCCGCCGCTTACTTTAAAAAAACAACAAAAGATTTTATAGTCAGTCCTCACCTGTCTTCTTTGTGAAGAAAAATAACATACAATCTCAAAGAATCTTCTGGACCTTATTACTTTGGGATTAAAGCTGGTAAAAACTTTACAAAATTCATGATTAAAGTAAGTTTTGAGTCTTTAAGCAAACGTTTATTACAGCTATTTAATTTCTTTCAGTGAAACGTCATCAATCTCCCCTTGTTCTTTTATCAGACTATATATATAAGCAGTCTCTTTATGAGATAAATCGTTTTACACTACTACTGACTAGTGTATAGTCTAGTCCTCTAAATGAAAATATGTTTTTGAATTTGACTGTATTTTTGAACGTCGAGTACAAAAGCTTTTAAAAATACGCATATTGAGAGCCTCACGTCATCAGTCATGTGACTTACTGGACAATTTTTCGTGACAATGTCTGTTAAATGAGAAAGTTGAAATCATGCAATACTCATAATGTTAGGAAAAAGTTAACGTCTTCTCAAAATTGAGAGATGAAGCTTAAAACAGAGAAATTAAACATGTAATCTTTCTGTCGGCAGAGGGGAGATTAGTAACTTAATTAAAAAACGCCTAACAAATAACGAGCGACATTTTTTACTAACTCTAGCATTATGGTCGGAATATGAATAGGCAAAGTGAGGATAATAAAACTCGCTTTCTGATTGCTCACCTCCGACTTGCATTTTGCATATTTTAAAATTTCGCTTTTAGCGTTTTTCATAATGTAAAATTTGGCAGTTTACATAATGTAATATGTTCAATTCCTTTTTAAATGACGTTTAGAAAAGTAATAGCCACCAAAAATTTTTCTGAGCCAATCAAAGAGCATTATTTCACCGGGAGGTGACGCTTGCTATATATTTATTCACAATTTACGATTTGAAATTATGTATGTATAGGATACGTTGTACAACTATGATTATACATACATGTGTAAATGGTTATAGTCATAGTCATGTAACGTATCGTACAAATATTCCAACTAACTGCAGATAGAAAGTTCAAAACTTTCAATAAGTAATGCTGCAGACTTTGATTGTTTTATTTGCTTAACTATTTATCTTTGTTGTAAAATTGTACCTGACACTTTCTGAATGTAATAACTAACAAGAATACATAAAAAAATATTTAGTCGATTCATATTAATATTCTATTGCAAATGCTTTAATTTCATTGGCTACTCTACTCACTATATATTTTTACATAGATAGCGAGCAGGAAAGCAAGAGAAACGGGTAGCGAGAAACATGGCTGCTGTCTCGCGTTTTACTAAGGTTTCTGACGATATATTTTATTGTTTAGCTGAAAGACAATATAAGAGATGAGCAAAGTTGCCACTAAATTCGACTTAAAGATATTTAAATATAAAATAAAAAAAGTTCCTTTAAAATAACTTTATACGTATCGAGTAACATTCGTTCGCTTTCAATAGCGATGTCAACAACATATGCACAAAACAAATTAATGAAAATTATACTAGCAACATTTTTCTTCATGAATATTAAGATGATTCTGCTAATAAACCATTAGATTGCTTGTAATCTAATTGGTAATTACAAGAATACTACTCTTATTCTATAGAAATTGCTGTAATTTGATTGGCTATTATACTTCCTATCGATTTCTCATTAGATAGCAAGAAGCAAAAAATTATGGTTTCTTTCTAGCGTTTTACTTAGTGTCATACGATGAATTTGATTGTTTACTTGAAAAGACAATTCGGGAGGAGTTCGTTCACAAATTTTTTCTCGATTTCCACAGACCTAAGAAGTTCATTCAGGCTTCGCCATTATCAATTATCACCTCATAAAATCTCGAGCTAGTAATCTAATTGTTAAATATCTCAAATGTACAAAATACTAAAAGGAAGTTGTAAAGCAAGACAGCGAAGTCTGCATAAGTGAAACAATGAGACAACAATTGACATTCAAAGTTTGTGTTACGAAGATGAACACAATCAAAAAGTAATATTGATTATGATGATCATTCAATATTCATTGATAAAATATAACTATAGCATAGCGATTCCTTCATATAATATTCAATATCTATAGAATCTAATTTGCCAAAAGTCCGCAAAATTGAACCAGTCGGACATTACAGAGCATTACTGTATTACCCAGACTATGATTGATAAAATTTGAGTAAGCTATGATAAAATTTGCCAACAAGTCGGTTGCCTACGAATTCTGCCGAGAGCTTCCGACTTCAACATAATCCATTCCAATCCAATACAAATAACCATATTTCTTACCGTCACTGTACACATCTATACATAAAACACCTGATGATAGACAACACCAAAAGCAGACGTCATAAACATCGCAAGGCATATCCACCATGTGAAATATGACGTCACAGCTCTGACAAGTTCCGACACGAACACGTGACGTAGATTTTGAACAGCGTTCACCGTGACATTTGAAACAAGCATCGATTTCTGAAGACGTTTCATTAAAGCATTGGTCGACTCCCAGTCGGTAGTACCTGTGAAGAAAATGCATTTATAACAATAGTTCTAACTGTCTTCGACAATATAACGGAGAAACTTTTGTTTGCAACAAAGTACATACAACCAAGGGACATAGGGAGATATTTATTGAGGAAGGGAAAAGAGGCCCATCCCTTTACAATCTCAAAACAAACGCATTCGCAATGTTTACAAGTGAAGGTAGAAATTATTGTGGGTGAAGGGGCGGCTGTAGCTCCTGTCTTAACTGGTCAGCGGTCCCTTTAATCTACAGTTGGAAATTGACGATATGAGATCAGGTAGCTGGAATTCAACGAATCGTTAATGATTTGTGTACTATAAACTAACAAGCATCTCCAATAAATTCAATATTGCCAGTTGTATTTTAAAAGCTAAAGATTACCCAAAACACCAAATAAAGCTCAATATGTACCTGCTATTCTTAAAGAATAACTAAAGACAACCCAGTAAACTCAATAATCCCAATATGTACCTGCTGTTCTTAAAGAATGACTATAGACTACCCAGTACACCCAATAATCCCAATATGCACCTGCAGTTCTTAAAGAATAACTAAAGACTACTTAGTATACCCAATAATGCCAATATGTACCTGCAGTTCTTAAAGATATCGTCAGAAAGACCAAAAGGATAACTGGAGTCAAATATTGAAGAGAAGCCACAGATAAATAATAAAAAACACTAAAAATCTAAAAAATACAAAAAATACAACGATATTTGAAAGTGAACATTATAAAATGAAGGATATTGCGAAAATGTACATTAGCTCAAATTAATAATATTAACACAGAAATTTACCTAACAGTTTTCTGACTGTATGGCAACGATCATTTAAAAATACTTAACAACTAGTTCAGTTTCATTATGTTAATTTATTTCTCTTTAGAGATATTTACATTTCTTCATTGTGCAAATACTCTTACCAAGACGCCATTTTGCATAGTTCTATATAGTTTTAAGAAATAATTGTTTTCTTTGATAGTTGAAAATAAAATTTTAACAGAGCAACTAAGCACGCATTCATCAACACATGCATGAGGAACATTGATGTTCTATTTACGAAATAGAAAACGTTTATCCTGTTTCTATAGAATTTTAGAAACACGCGGGGAATGTTGAGAAGATAAAACTCACTTTCCAAATCTCATCTTCTTCCGAGCAGTATTCTTATATGTTTTTTTGTTCTGCTTCTTACATAGTGCAAAATTTTTCTGTTTGCTTTTGGAAATTCGTTTTAATTGTAAAGAAAAATTACACGTACTGGCCTTAAATAATTCAATAAAATCAAAAACCAGAGTAAAATCGTAAATTAAGTAGAAATAGTGTCGGGAAGAAAACAAAAAAAATTTTTTACCTTTTTTTGCAAAGCAGAACTATTCGTTCTTCCCGCTTCCCTTTTCATTCTATTCACTTTAACTTTGGCGATGTCTAAGAAAGCCTGTAGATGCATTTTGGTAAGGAAAAACCGCATAAGACAACAAAGTAAGATGACTCCAATGCGAATGTTATCAAAGTTTGAGTCCGATACTCTATAAAATACACAAACGTTAGTTTAAGAAAGTAGCTACAAAAACATGAGAAGAACGAAGGAAGTCATTTCTTCACTTACGAAAATGAATTATTTCTGCTCGTGAAGTATTCGCGAGCCAAGGGTTTGATCCACAATAAAACAAGACAAAGAGGAGCGAAGAAATTTACATAAAAAAGGACACTAAAAATTTAAAAAATGGTCAGTGGTCCTACATTAAACCATTATCTCAATACATGACAACAAAGTGAAGCGATTCATAAACACAATTTAGTAATGATGAATATTTAATGTCATTAACGCTACACATAATATTTATAGAGAAACTTGTTACACAAGTATTCTTACTTACAGAAGCAACTTGTTAGATTTGTATTGCTCTATCAAATCCAAGAACATTATTGATATTCTAATGCCAGGAAAGCCGAGAAAGGCTCCGATAATTCCCGAGATAACAGCGAGCGCGAGTTTGAAAATCCATATTGGAGCGGATCCACCTCTGTTGAAGACAATTAAACAAAGTGTAAGAACATTAATGCTTCGTTATGGTTTTAATTTAAATGTCGCGTTCTTGAGACTCGTGTCGTCAGGAATTGACTTACTTTCGTGTGAATCCTTGTTTCTTCAAAAATAATTCAGCTTCTTCAGAGAATATTTCGTAACCTAAAGAGAAAGTCGACGCAAACATGAGACGAAAAAGATTCGGAGTAGATTGAAAGCTCATAAAACGGAGTAAGTGAAAATCTACTAATGTTTCTTGATTAGAAAGACAAGATTTCGTCGGTATTTGGCAAAATACAGAATCTTGCTTCTAGGAGACACCTTTTAAAGTACAGTTATTTTAACTTTTTAAAAGAACTTCATTGTCCACGAAAGTCGTAAAAAACAAAGAGCTGTGTTATTGCGATGTAAAAAAAAACAACAAACAAAATGCAAGTGATGAAGCTTGATTTGAAGGTCAGAAAGACCAGTCCGGGCAGGTAAACAGAGACTTACCAAGACCACAGTATAGAGAAAATACAGTAGAACCACTCCATTGAATCTTTTCTTGCAACGCATATCTTATTAGGCATGTGATTATTATATTGGCAACCAGTAAATTGCATTTTGTGACCAATAGGATTGACGATATGGCAAACGGCAGCTAGTAAACTAATTAAATATACGCAGCCATTTGCACATCGAAGTGAACCTACTGTACATTCCTATACTGTGCCAAGACTTAAGAATGTTTCTAAGCAAATAAAAGCAGGTCGAATTAACGGGGTTCGTGAATGTTAGTTAAGTTAGTTTAGTTCAAATCCGAATTCTTGTAAATCAGGATCAATGTGAGATGATCCGAAGTGAATCTCAGAGAAAAGCAAATCAAATCTGACCCAAATGAAGCTACACATAATAATTGTCTTCCAATCTTTTATTATATGCTGGACTTTCTCATCTAATAACGACATCTCATTGAGCGCGTTATAATGATTTCACAGTTTTCTGCTCATTTCAGTGATATTTATGTTAAAAAAATATTTGAGAAAAAGTTTACCAACTAAATTAAAAGATTACCTGAGTCCAAATTGAACTCCAACATAGATTCATCGACTACCAAAATGGCCATCGCCAGAACAAAGAAAAAAACACCAAATGTCAAGCAGACAGATTTTTCTCCTGAATCATCACCCGACCAATAGGAAGCCGTGAGCAGAAACAAAACACGTCTGTATGTAGAGTAAAGGAAAGCATAACAACCTTACAGGAGGTGTGGTCACTGTGGTATGTAGTGTTTATTTACCTCTGGGGAAGGCTGGACTCGAATTTAAAATACATAAATACCTTCATTACGCAAGGGTCACAAAACGATCCGTGAAGCATTTTTAATACATTAAATACATTAGGTAATGAGAAGAGATCGCACTTCGCTTGAGAGGGGGGTGGGCCAAACCATTAACAATCTTCGGCTCCGCATACCCTTAGTCCTTGCCCCCGTCTATTTTTTTAAAAAAAAGATAAATTCAGTCTATCGACATCATGAAGGAACGTTTGTGTCTATTCAATAGAATAAAGAGATTTTCAACCATCACAGCAATCACCTTCCGCTCAATAAATCGAAGAGCCGCAAAAATCCTCGTGGATCACTCTTTGATTCTAGTAAAGTGGCGAGTCAGCAAGTTTGGTCCTGTTATTAAAATTTGAGATGATTCTTTATTTCTTTCGAAATCTTGTGATTTTAAAGTCAGTAAACACAGAAATATTTACATAGCATGACCATCTTTAAGAACTGAGTGTTTACATAAATGCTTGAAGCACGAGAAAAGACGAAAGTAAGATCGGCGAAAGAAATGCCAAACTTTTCTGGCAATTTTTATGTCGGAATGTTTGGTTGCAAATTTAACCTAAAATATCGCATTTGTACAGAAACAACCATCCATAAGTCGAGTTAACACCCAAGTTATCAAGTTAGAACCCGGAAAAATACGCCAAAAAAATTTCTAATGTCAATTCTCTGTCACAATAAATTTTGATAAAATTTTGATAACAATTTTGATAATTTGCAAACTAAATGAAAACGAAACGAATGTCCGAACTTCCACCATAGCACTTTGCCTTCATAATTGACGAGCTTTTGATTAGCCTGAGTGCTTAGAACGCGCAATGTTTAGCTCAATTTTCAAACAGTTAGAAAGGTTTTTTACAGAACACGATGAACAAAAATATCGCGGATTTTACTGCAATAAAATGAATGGTCAGCATAAATTTGCCAACTTTGAAGACTGAAAGTAAGCAATGAGACCGACTCGTTTTCAAGGCTGACATTAAGTCAAGCTTAAGATCCCTTTCGTTTCATTAAAAAGGATACATGGCAAAAAATATGCCCAAGAAATTCCATAATGGCGTCACACTGATGTCGTTACGTAAAAGAGCGGGAAATAAACACGAAATCCCCTCGATGATGATATTGAATATCACGGCAGACACAGAAAAATCAACGAGCCACTTGTATTCTGTATAATAACATTGAAATATCAAATCTGTTTCATCAACCTAATGGGAAAGTGTTTTATGTTAGTTTTACAATATAATTTTATAGTGTATTTATTGAGGGGAGTTTCCAACTTTCAATACTTCGAAAGAAAGGGGGCATGGCGCAAAGTTTCAGTACATATCGACAATAATGAAAGCTTGAGGTTATAACGTTATGGTATATTTACTGGGGGTTAGTCATCTTCAAATACATGAAAAGAAAGGGGCGTTACAAAGTTCATTACACATCGACTTACTATGCCCGAAAGAAGTTATGATGTAATGGGGTATTTACTGGGGGGGGGGTAGTCATCTTTCAATAACTCGAATAAAAGAGGGATGGTGCAAGAGTTTTATTAAATATAGACAATGTTAAAAGTTGTGGAATGTAGCTATTATAACTATTGTCATTGGAACTTGTGGGAGGAAAGTTTGACAGCGTTTTCCACTATATAAGAAAACCACGTTTGTTTTAAATGTCTCTTTAAAAAGTAGAAAAATTACTATTTAAAGACGACAATCAATACAATAAACCCTTTAACACTTATAACAATGAAAACATAGTTTTATTTTGTGAAACAATAACAACCCTACTTTAAAACACTTAAAATAGCCATTATGCAGTGGATAGTGCTTTTGAAGCTAAGTACAACCCCTTCTCCAGCAAATGAATGAAGATATTCTTGGTTGTCTGCAAGCAACAAGACCTTCAAGACGCTTATCGGGCGTTCACTCCTCCTGCTCGGGACCAAAGTTTGGTTATATTTGAGTATTATAATATAGTTCTCAAATTGCACGACAAAATTCACAGCAATGTAATCTCACATATGGCAATGTATTATGTAGGTAAATAATGTTTCATTATAGGTTTTATTACTTACACGTGAAACTATCCAAGACAGTTTTCATTAGTACATGGACTTCATGTATAAAATGTTATCTCGTGATTGACAGCAAAACAAAATCCGAATTTTTTCAAACTTGGGCAAGCAATTTCTGATTGAACAGTTTATCAATCACAATTGCATTCATAATTTACGCTAATGAAACAAAACCTCACCCCTACCTCAAAAGCATATGCTCAATGAGGAAGACCTTTCCCCTGATTCTTACAATAATACAACCCCCCTGTATATACACGCGGTGACTGAATAAACCACTGATACAAGAGACACTTAATGTGCTTGTGACCACATTTTGCAGCTATTGATTCTGACAGTCCTCAAAAAGTTAGTTGACAACTTCTACAATACTTTCTACATACAAAAAAATATCAAAAATAATATAGCTCAGACACAGGATCAGAAAACGACAGCACACCTAAAGTCCTGGATCCCAGAAATACACTTTCAACAACAATGTAGAAATTATGTTGTAAATTATGTATTGTCATAGATTTTTTGCAAAATATGCTTCATTTATAACTTTTCAAACATTGCGTACATACAAGAAAAGTATATTGTATTATAAGCTAAAAGCATATTTATATATTCTTGTGTTCCATTCCAAAAATGTTCGCCCATTATTTTCAAAAAATGTGTTTCAACCACTAGAGCTTTGGAAATGCACATTTTCTTAAAGTTGTTGAATCACTATTTGAGATGTGTAGGAATCAATAAAACCCCATGATGAGGTCATATGCACTTTAAAATGTGACAAATTTGAAATATACTTCAGGTATTGAAAGGCAATCTTACATTCACTGTTCTCAGTTGAATGTTCATGTTGCAAGGTATGGATAAATGCTTAGAAGATATAAATTGAATTGATGCTCCATTATTTTCTTCCTTTTTCCTACAGAACAAAAAGAGAAACGTTAATATGTGTTTATGAATAACAGCTGTTTAGTTTATGTTGATTTTAGCCTGGACAAGATGACAAGAGAATAACAGATCAACTGTAAGAACCTGTTCATATAAGAAAGGCAAACCCAGTATGGCTGAGCTGGCCAGTTTGCCAGAGGCTAATGTGTATTTGAAGTTGTATAAGACAGGCTGGTTCTTCTAAAATGCTCTCAATACCCCCAAATACTTGTTTCACTTTGTGCTAAAATCCAAATGTGTTTAGACTTGCACATTCCAACATTTTCAAATATTAATTTGTTGCATTTTGTGCCAATACACACAACGACAAAATGTGAAAACAAATCTTTATAATTAATACCTTGCATCAGAACGCTTAGCTTTATTTGACTTTGTTCTTTGTGTTTTACCAAGGAGTTTCTCAACTCTGTGTCAGAGGATGGTACATGACGTACCAATCTAAGGAAAGACATATGTGAAAATTACAACAGAAAATGTCAAAGAGAAACACCTGAGACAACATACCCACTGCATAATAACCAAGTGGCCAGCAACATATATGGTGAAAATTTGTGAAGAAACAATGCTACCATCAAGGTTAGGACAACTTGTATACCAAACAGTGCCTAAAAGGAAAAATGCCAATTCGCAGATGAGTTTTCTATGATGTATAGTATTTCTTTTTAAGGGAGGGGGGAGATTGAGAAATGGTTAAGATTATAAGAGCAGTTGACTGAGTGCAAAGTTCCAAACATGACTAAAATATTCTCATATGCATATTAGGTGGAGGCAGGCACTTAAACCTTGGACAGACAAAGCCAGTAGCGAGGGAGATTGAGAAATGGTTAAGTTTATAAGAGCAGTTGACTGAGTGCAAAGTTCTAAACATGACTAAAGTATTCCCATATGGATATTAGGTGGGAGCAAGCACCTTAAACCTTGGGCAGACAAAGCCAGGAGGGGAGATTGAGAAATGGTTAAGTTTATAAGAGCATTTGACTGAGTGCAAAGTTCCAAACATGACTAAAATATTCCCATATGCACATTAGGTGGGAGCAGGCACGTAAACCTTGGACAGACAAAGCCAGAAGGGGATTATTTTCAGGAAAGTTTGGTAAATTAAGCCATTTCATATTGAAAATATTTAGATTGCTCCCTGTAAAATGTTAGCCCGTACATCCAGGAGTACAACAAAAACAAACTATCGTAAAGTAAACTTGGTAGTTCAAGCAAGTTTGGTCAACACTTTGGGAAAAATCACGTTTTAAAACAAAACTTTTAAAGAGCTTACATTCATAAATTACAGATGCAAAATATCAAGCCATCTATACTATACTTTAAAGATTTTGAAGAGCATGGATTGTGTACAATTTTTGTATGTTATAAAGATATTAAATTGAACGATAAAATTTTCATAAATATTTATCTGCATTTTACAAAGTGCTTGAAATAAAACAAAGAATCCTTTAAGTTACTCCAAGAAAAATGTATTTGTTTAATGGTATAAAATACCTGTATACCATACTATCATTATTTTGCAAAAAAATTTGATTGTGTACTATGTATACATCGAAAAAAATTGGCATATAAAGTCAACTACAATGTATCCTAGACATAAAGTTTTCAACAATATTGACATATAAGTCATGTCTAAACTTCAAATAAAAACATAATCATCCAACTAGCTCATCAAGAACGTTTCAAGATGAGAAACAAGAATTGTCGATGACGAAATCATTGAAGGCTTTGTTCAATCAGAAGCAACTTCTAGCAACAAGTTTGGCTGACAATTTCTTCAGATATTTTTTGGTTTGCTGCACCAATTTATTGATGTGCCATGAAAAGTTTTTCTTGCAAGTTATATAGCTTTTCTGTTAAACACATCTACTAATATTCAACCAACAAGATAAAACCTACAATGCAACATACTTGGCATCAAGTGAGTCAAAGATGGTCTGCTATATCCAGAAATTCGTGTTATTGAATATGCTTGATGATTCCAAGGAGTTTAGGAAAATTGAAATTGCAGCTTTCCCTTTTACTATGATGAACTTTATAAAAAAATTATAATTGTTGATCAACGTACCGTAACAAATCCAACAGTTTATGAATAACAAAAAACGAATCGGTTACAAATTAAAAACTAAAGTTAGCAGAAGAACATCTTGAAAAATTTGTTTTAGACTCATGAACTCTCTGGTCTTGTCAATGTTGTGATGACAAATATCGTCTGCTAATACAAAACTTCCCACTACTGACATTGTATTGCCTTGTTTACACATATTTTCAAAGGAGGATAATACTTTTGCTGGGCCATTTATAGGTTCAAAATCTACCTAGCCTTTAATCCGTTTGAAAGTGTTTGGAAATTTACATTGTTAAAATGAATAATAACTGCGGAAACAATGAATTTGCAATATTGACATGCAACATGAATCGATAAATTTAGAAATAAAATGTTGCAAAAATCGCTGATTAACCACTGGGTTACGTAAAACTTGCTGAAAAACAAACACAAGCATTAAGACCGCTTAAAGGAGATTGTTTTGCAGCTGCATAAGGTGTCCATTCTAAGAAAAATTTCGGAAGATATTTGCCATTGTACATGATCTATAATTTATTGTTTAAAATGCTGTGTTTAATAACACATATTGAAATTATTCTTCTCAGAAACCAATGCCGCCCTCCCTTTTCTTCTCCACCACGAGAACTACTTCAAAATAAAAATCCCAGCAAACTATATAAAGACTCGGAATTAAATCACAAAGCCAGCATTTATGACTTTCTTTGATCCACATTGCTGTATGCAAGATTTGTCTAGATAAATTTCCTTATAAGGTTGCTTCCTTATAAGGTAAGCTGTGTGAGCGGTGTCTAAGTATGCCGAAACATGTTTGCTATAAAAAAATTTGTCGTCTATTTTAAATGTCTTATAACCATTTTATTTATTCACTTCGCACAGAAGATGGCATGAAGTATGCCGAAACAACAAAGCTTATGAGATAAAAACGGTCAAAAATTCTAATGTTATAGTGCTGCAACAACAGGCAGAAAGGCGAAGCCAGAGAATAGATAAAATAGCAAATAAATCAACTAAATTTGCCGGACTTTCAAACGGATGCTTTCCTCATCCCTCTAAACTTTACTGAGAAGATGGTCATAAATTCGGCGCCCATAATACAGCTGTAATTTGTTTCTTTGAAACGTATTCCGAATGCAGCCTTAATTATCATATCCTTTATACTAATCTCGAAGGAACCTTAATAGATCAAGTAGAGTTTCTATAGAAAGGAATGCAATGTTTTGGTCCTACAGGCTCACAGATTAACAAGACACGGTTGAATAACAAATGCAGAAATTCACTGCATTGATGTAAGATTTACTTAGATCTATATTGATGTATGGCAGCTGGTTTAACTATTTAATTTTCCACGTACGGTAATTTTCTTTATAAGGTGGGCCACCTGTCATTGCACGTTTAATATTTAATTAAGATTTATGTATTGTTGTGTTTTACAAATTTTTGTGTTTAATTTATATTTCTTTTACAGCTACATTTACAAACTTCGTAATGAAAAATTTTAGGAATATGCAACAGAATCCCGGCACTATTGCTTTTCAAACAATCCAAATGTTAAAGCGATTATAAGAAAGCATAATTCCATTTTGACACATTTTATTGTTTTTTAGCGCATGCGTGAAAATCACGCCAGCAAGTATTTTATTGGTTCACATACTGGCGTTGCCTATGCACGTGATCTCTACCAGGCAAAAAAAGAAAGGGCGAGTCTGTTTGTTATCTTTAAATCCTTTTGGTTGCAGAGAGAACATTACACGGAGCTTGTGTTTGGTGAAGAAATATAAACGTCAGTGATCTTTATATATAACGATAAGACATAGTTAAGTAGAAGGTGGGTGAAATTGTTGCTTATTCTTTATATAATGAAAGTGTCGTGATGAGCATTTAGCATTTACCAGATGAAAATGATTCATTGCCTCAAAAAAACAAAATAAAAACAAAAAGCAATAAACGATGAAACTGGCAAAAGATGATTAAATGAAAAACTCTGACAGGAATTCGTCTTGTTTTGAGCACAGCCTAAATATTTCATTTGATTTTGTAAGCGCCAACTCTCGCTTCTTGTCGCGACGCACTTTTATTGAGAGTACTTTATCATGCATTTGTTTTATTCACATTTTTACTTTAGACATATGAAAATAAATATTATAGAAACCTTCGTCTTCTGAATTCTATCTTAAATAGTTGCATTGCAACCAGAAACCTTCATTCTTATCGTTCATTCAAAATAAATTTTAAGTTTTTGTAATACGACGTAAATGTTTTGAAACTGAAACAGCTGCTACAAAAAAATTTCGTGATTATTTTAGTAGTTTATAACTACAGACAAAAGGATATTTGCATAAAATATGGAGAACAAAAAAATTGTAGTTATGAACGAGCACCGACAAATTCGTTAAATGTAATTATTTTTATTGGAAGAAAATGCATACGGAAGAAAATAATTTTGTTCAAGTATTGTTCAACTCATGATATTAGTTCTTCTTTATGTTGCGAAAACAGCAGGCATCGTTGATTCAATACGAGACTGCCACCTGTATATGTAAATACATTACAAATAAGACACTTGCATCAAGTGTTTTCTCGTAAAGATTAACTTGATAACACCGCGTCGCAACGCAAAAAACCTTGTTCACCAGCTACAAAAAAACGTTCGTTGACGCTACATTTAATAAACTATAAGAAAAGTGTTTGAAATCGGAATAGCTGCTAGGAGAAACACTACAGCGATAAATTTGTTCTTCCATTCTCACACACAAAAGAAATTTACTCAAAAATGTATGCACAGGGAGTTGCCATGTATATAAATCCATAATTTTAACAGATGTACTAACTTTTATTGGAAGAAAATGCCGACAAGAAAATAATTTTCTTCAAGTTAACAACTATTACTGAACTCATTAACTCTGCGTTATTTTATGTTTTTATAACGTCGGTTGAATGCAAACCTTCCGGCTTCCGTATTACCCCGCACTAAAACATTTTTTAATTTGCAAGTTTTTTATGAACTGTAGCCATTGCAAGACTACATAGTTCTTAAAACCAACATAGCTAAAGTGAATAAGAACATAAATCTCCGAAATTGTAAAGAAAGTTCTGCAAAAAGACTAAATTTTGTAAAAGATTATCTTGACTGAAGAAATATTTCATGAAATTGTTGCTATGTGGCATTTCTAGCATTTTTACCATCTTTGGAAATTTGGCAATCAGAAAAAAAACAAATGTGTATTGATAGGTTAGATATTACTAAATGGAAATTTATCACCAATAACATTGTAAAGAAGGTACCTTTAATTTAAAATTAACAGCTATAATTCATTTTGCCAAAACCTAGACACAATTAAAAAATAGTGTTTGTGACATTGCATGCCTAATTATATTTAAATACTGTAATGACGTAGGTAATTCCTTATTTAATATGCATGTGTAATGTATATAAGAACCTGTGTTTATCTAAGCCCGGCATTAAATACAAGACTTATTACATGATGGTAGCGATTAGGAAAAGTTTGTTCTTATCGAATGGCAGAAGGATTTTCCAGGCCAACACGACTCTCGTTTGAAGGCAACGTTGCTGAGAATTGGCGTCGCTTCAAACAGAACTATAAAATATACATTGTTGCTGCAGGACATAGTCGGAAATCAAAGAAAGAAAAGTCATGCATCCTCTTAAATCTAGCTGGTGAAGATGCGGTTGAAAGATACAATTCTTTTACCTACAACGAAGAGGAAGACAAAGACGATCCAGAAATTCTAGTGAAGAAATTTGAAGAAATATGCCGCTTAAGAATTTAACATTCGAAAGACATTTATTTCATACAAGGAAGCAAAGTCCGTCAGAGTCGATTAGTTCCTTTGTTACAGATTTGAAAAACATTGCTCGAAAGTGCGAGTTTGGTGACCTCGAGAGCGAACTTGTTAAAGATCGTATTGTGTGTGGGATTAACAGTGATGCAGTAAGAAAGATTCTCCTTCGCGAAACAAGTTTAACTTTAGACAAGGCTCTAAACATATGCAGTGTAAACGAATTGTTGGAACAACAAGTAAAAGATCTTACTAATTATCAAGATGTCGATGAACTGAAGGCTAGGAAGAATTTGAAAACCTCAAGAGGAAGTTACACAAACTTAAGTCAAACAAAAGAAGATAAATATCGAGGACAAAGATTCGTATTAAAGAACAATTGCAGAAACTGTGGAGGAAAACATCTTCCAAAGCAATGCCCAGCTTTTGGAAAAATTTGCCACAAATGTCATAAGAAAAACCACTTTGCTCGGGTGTGTCTAACGTCTACACAAAAGTCACAAAGAACAGTTCATGAAGTTAGTGATGAAGAATTGTTTATTGGTGCTGTTAATGCAATCAAACCTACGCAACAACGCACAAGCTCGAAAGTCGACTATCGAATGAATATTGAAGCTGTAGAAAAAAGCAATGACGAGTGGTATTCTGAACTCAAGTTTGGCAGGCATTTGGTGAACGTGAAGGTGGATACAGGCGCAAAATTTAATGTGCTTTCTAAAAAATTGTTCGACAAAGTCACAGAAGCTGAGCAACAAGTTACCAAAACAAATACAAAGCTAATGTCGTATAGTGGAGATTCAGTTCAAACCTTGGGACAAGCAGTGATGACGTGTTCTTACAAAGACAAACGATACAATCTTCTTTTCTATATAGCGACACACGATGTAAAGCCTATTCTTGATTTACCTGATTGCGAGCGTTTGGGTATGGTGAAAAGAATTAAAGATGTCAAACCTATTTTCACTAGCGACGATATTCTCAATGAATATGCAGATCTCTTCGATGGCAAACTAGGATGTTTACCCATTAAACATCATATCAGTGTCAATCCAAATGTAAAACCTACAATTCATCCTCCTCGACGCGTTCCAGTAGCTATGAGAACGAAAATTAAAGAAGAGTTAGAACGAATGCAACAGATGGGTGTCATCGATCCTGAAAAACCTACGGAATGGGTTTCGTCAATGGTAACAGTGGAAAAACCAAACAAGTTACGAATATGTATTGATCCTAGACATCTTAATGAAGCCATTCAGCGAGAACATTACCCTCTCTTAACAATAGAAGAAGTCGTATCAAGACTACCTAGAGCTAAAATTTTCTCCGTATTCGATGCAGCCTCTGGATTTTGGCAGATACCTCTAGATGAAGATTCCAGTTATCTTACAACATTCAATACGCCTTTTGGCAGATACAAATTCAATCGTCTCCCATTTGGTATATCCTCAGCACCTGAAGTGTTCCAAAAAGCTATGCAACAGCTGTTTGACAGAATAGACGGTTGTGAAATTATAATGGATGATATCTTAGTATGGGGAACAACACAGAAAGAACATGATAAAAGAATTATCAATGTGCTGAATAGAGCTCGTGAAATCAATCTCAAATTAAAGAAAGAAAAAACAAAAGTTAAAGTAACAAATGTAGATTACATGGGACACAAAATAACGTCAGATGGTCTTCAATCCGATCCTGAAAAGATTAAAGCAATATTAAACATGCCAATTCCTAAAGATAAGAAAGATCTTCAAAGATTTCTTAGAATGGTTCAATATTTGGCCAAGTTTACTCCTTATCTTTCAGAAATGACAAGTCCCCTTAGAGATATGTTAAAGAAGAAAAATGATTGATGCTGGTTAGATCAACATCAAATAGTGTATGACAGAATCAAGAAATCCTGTGGAGAGCATCCTGTATTGCAATTCTACGATGTATCAAAAGATGTGACATTGTCCGTAGATGCAAGTATGTCAGGTTTAGGAGCAGTTTGTCTTCAAAATGGCAAACCAGTTGCTTATGCATCGAGAGCTATAACTGAATGCCAAAAGAAATATGCACAAATTGAAAAAGTGTTACTTGCAATTGTATTTGGATGTGAAAAATTTCATGATTACATCTATGGCAGAGATGTCAATGTGGAAACAGATCATAAGCCCTTAGAGCAGATTTTCAAGAAGCCCCTTCATCAATCTCCATTGAGACTCCAGAAAATGTTGCTGAAACTTCAAAAGTACAGTTTGAAGGTCTCGTTTAAGAAAGGAGCAGAACTTTATCTCGCAGATCAATTAAGTCGAGCGTATATCCAAGAAGAATCAGATGATCACTTAGAAGATTTTGAGATAAATATTGTCTTGCCAGTAAGTGAAGAGAAAATGAACCAGTTGAAGGAAGAGACAAAGAAAGATAAAGTAATGAAAATGCTACGACAGTACGTAGAAAATGAATGGCCAGATCTACGCAGTAAAGTCGATTTGGATGTTTTGAATTACTGGGACTTTAGAGAGACTCTTTCAGTACAAGATGACCTACTGTTTAAAGGAGATCGAGTAATAATTCTTGAGTCATTAAGAACTGATAAGTTGAAAGCTATACATCAAGGACATTTTGGATCTGAATCATGCAAACGTAGGGCTCGAGAGTGTTTATATTGGCCAAAGATGAGCTTAGAAATAGAAGCAGAAGTTCGAAAGTGTGAAATCTGCAATGCCCATAAGAGTCATCAACAAAAGGAGCCTCTACAATCACATACTGTACCACATCGACCGTGGAGTAAAGTTGGAGCAGACCTATTTGAATTGAATGGTAGAAGCTATCTTCTTATGGTAGGTTACTACAGTGGATTCTTTGAAATTGATTACTTGTTAAATACAACATGAAAAACAGTTATGACAAAGATGAAATGTCAAACTGCGAGATACGGAATTTTCGAAGATCTTATAACAGATAATGGTCCACAATTCAGAAGTAAAGAATTTCGTGCATTCTCGTTACAGTATGCATTTAAACATACAACAAGTTCACCTGGATATCCAAAAAGTAACGGCATGTCAGAACGTGCTGTGCAGACAGCAAAAGCAATCATAAAGAAAGCAAAATATGATAACACCAATCCTTATTTAGGACTCCTTAATTATAGAAATACACCTAGAGATGAAATTGTTAGCAGTCCAGCTAAACGACTAATGGGACGAAGAACTAGGACATTATTACCAATATCAGAGAAGTTACTTGAATTTCAACCATTAAACCCTGTTAATGTTCAAGAAAAATTGGAAATGTATCACAAGAAACAAAAAGAGTTTTATGATCGCAATGCAAAAACACTTCCACCATTAAAAGAAGGAGATAAGGTACGTATAAAAACAGAAAAAGGCTTCCAAAAGAAAGGAATCGTGGAAAAATCGTTACTTGAGCCAAGATCTTATTTGGTTAGGTCTGATGGTACCTACTATAGAAGGAATAGAAATCATTTATTAAAGATTAATGAAGAATCGAGAAGTCAAGATACAGATAAGTCTTATAGTGAGAACAATAAATCTTATAAAAATTGTAATGAAAGTACTAACAACAGTAATATAAGAACTCGGTATGGACGTCTAATCAAAAAACCGAATAGATATTCTTATTAGATAAAAATAAGTTTAAAAAAATTTATAGTGTGAAATTATTTAAAAAAAAAACGAAGAAAAAGAGATGTGACATTGCATGCCTAATTATATTTAAATACTGTAATGACGTAGGTAATTCTTTATTTAATATGCATGTGTAATGTATATAAGAGCCTGTGTTTATCTAAGCCCGGCATTAAATACAAGACTTATTACAGTGTTCATCGACACTTCGATCTATATAGGTTAAAAGCTGACAATTAAGTAATTCAACGATATTCTTTTCGAAGGTGTAAGTTACCTTATCAGTGACTTTTTCAAAATAACTTTTTGGAAACCTTTTGATGCAGATAACAAAAAAATGATGATTGGATCGTTGAGATCTGATCGCTCGCTACTGAAACAAAGAACTCTGAATGCCGCCTTTATTAATACATTTTTATTACTAGTCATAAAGGGACCTCAACCGATCACATCGAGTTTCGATTGAAAGATACACATATATACCAGACACAGTTGAATAACAAATACAGAAATTCAGTGCATTGATCTACGACTTTCTTGGATCTACATTGATATATGGCAGCAGATTTATTTATTTAATTTTCAATATAAACAGTAATTTTCGTTTTAACGTAGGCTACCTGCCACAGCACGTTTAATACTTAATTAAGATGTATGTAAGATTTAGATTTGAATTGTTGTGTTTAATTTATATTTCTTTTACAGCTACCTTAGCAAACTTTGTAACGAAAAATTTTAGACAGCAGAATCTCGGCAATCGGCAATACTGGTTTTGAAACAATCCAAAATGTTTTAGCAATTATAATGAAGCTTACTTCCATTTTCGTACATTTCATTGTTTTTATGGCGCATGCGTGAAAAATCCTCCCAGCAAATAATTTATTGGTTCAATCTCATCGAGAACGCATGACGAAATCATTGAAGGCTTTGTTTAATCAGAGGCAACTTCCAGCAACAAAATTTGGCTGAAAATTTTTTCTAAAACTTATTGGTTTGCTGAACATATGTAGTGACATAATTTATCTCAAGTCAAAATTTGAAATTCTCGTAAAGAAAAGACGATACCTGTTATCACCAGAACATATAAACGATTAAATCGAGAAGATAAAAGTTATTATGATGTACCATGAAATTTTTTTCTCGTATATAACAGTTCTGTTAAACACACAGAAAGTTCCGCAACACCAAAAATGCTTGATATTTAATATGTTTGATAATTCCAAATCGTTAATGAAAAGTGAAATTGCAGTTTTCCGTTTTACTATGCTCAACTTTATAAAAAAACCCTTTCATCAACATGCCTTAACAATTCAAACCATTTATGAATAACAAAAAACTAATCGGTTACACTTTAAAAACTAAAATTAGTATAAGAACATCTTGGAAAATTTTGTTCTAGACTCATAAACTCTCTGGTCTTGTCAATGTTGTGATAACAAATATCGTCTGCTAATACAAAACTTTCCACTACTGACATTGCATTGCCTTGTTTACACATATTTTCAAAGGAGGATAAATCTTTTGCTGCGGTATTAGAGGTTCAAAATCTACCTAATCCCTAAATCGTTTGAAAGTGTTTTGAAATTTACATGGTTAAAATGAATAATAACTGCGGCAACAATGAATTTGCAATATTGACATGCAACATGAATCGATAAATTTAGAAAGAAAATGTTGCAAAAATTGCTGATTAATCATTGGGTTACGTAAAATTTGCTAAAAAAACAAACACGCGCATTAAGACCGCTTAAAGGAACATTGTTATTGAACATTCTATGAAATATGTCGAAAGATATTTGTCAGTGTCAATGATCTATAATTTATTGTTTAAAATGCTGTGTTTAATAACACATATTGAAATTATTATTCTCAGAAACCAACGCCGCCCTCCCTTTTCTTCTCTACCACGAAAACTACTTCAAACTGATCCCAAAAAACTGATATAAAGACTCGGAATTAAATCCCAAAGTCAGAATTTAGGAATTTCCTTGATCCACATTGTTGTCTGCAAGATTTGTCTAGATAATCTTCCTTATAAGGTTGCTTCCTTATAAGGTAAGCTACATGTCAGTGCACATTTTATAATTAATTGTTTAAAAATACACATTTAAGTTATGGGTTTGAACATGTTGTTTAAAGCCAAAGATCACGAGAAAGTAGGAAAACAAAAACGACGGAAGCCAAGGTTTATTACTTTAAATGAAACTAAAGCCAACAAAGTAATTTGCTTTATTTTAAATTTTTTAATAAATGTAGATATGGAAAATCCTGCAACAGCAACAAAGGAAGGAAAGATATTCAACGATCCAATTCATGGCTTCATCAAGCTTGATCTTTTGTTGGTCAAAATTATCAACACACCACAATTCCAGCGTTTGAAAGATATCAAGCAGTTGGGAATCTGTGACTTCGTTTACCCTGGAGCAACTCACACTAGGTATAGTTATTGGTACTAAAAAGGTCATGCGATCTTATTCATAATCGATGTAATCGAGGATGTTCAAACCAGCATATTTAGCATAAATATTCACCTTAAAATTTTAATTTCACACAGGTTCGAACATTCTCTTGGAACTTCTTATTTGTGTGGGAAGTTGATTGATACACTACAAGAGCTTCATCGTGGAGAGATTGAGATCACAGATAAAGAATGCATGTGTATCAAAATAGCAGGACTTTGTCATGATCTTGGCCATGGACCGTTCTCTCATTTCTTTGAAGAAGAGTACATCAAAAAGCAAAGACCTGAGTGGCAGCATGAGGATGCGTCTTGTGAACTTTTCGAATTCATGCTCAAGGAAAACTCGGAACTTAAGCAGAGTTTTGATGATTTTCCACTTGATCACACAGACATAAAATTCATCAAGGAACTTATCAAAGGTATTGTCAAACGCAGGGATCGTTATCTACATAGTCCACAAAGATTTTTCATTTGAAATGTATAAAATAAGGAACACCTAATATTACAGACAGAAATAATATTTGATTTTGATACGCTTTGATTCTGAATGCAAATTTGGAGATTAATGTCTGAAGCCTGTCAGTGCTGTCTGTTGATTTTCTAATGTAGCTATCAAAATGATGGTAGCACTCTCTCTACGAAAATGAAATGAAAATTTTGTCCTCATTGAGTTGACATTTTGTTCCATTAAATTTCTCACTTCTTGTCTGATATAATTCTGAAATAATCAAAAATTGACATCCGGTTGATAAGGCTTTCAGGTTTCTTTTAACTGGCTGCTTTTATGCTGGCACATGTTTAAACAATGATGGCGGATGCTTTTTTTTTAGGTAAAAATCCCAATGATGTGACAAGAAAATGTGAGTTGACTCACAAATATAAATGCTTTCTTTATGAAATCGTGTCGAACAAAAGAAATGGTATCGACTGTGACAAGTTTGATTATTTCGCCCGTGACTGCGCTAATGTTGGAGTGAAAAGTACATTTGACCATCGACGCTACTTTCAAAATGTTCGCATCATGTCTAACCCTGATAACCAACAACTCCAGATCTGTGTACGTGACAAAGAGGTGTTTAACTTGTACGAGTTATTCCACACCCGTTGGTCCCTTCATCAGAGAGTTTACCAACACAAAACTAAAGCACCTATAGAAGACTTGCTCTTTCAAGCGTTTGAGAAAGTCGACGAAGTCATGAAAATTTCAGACGCTGTGAAAAAAGCAGTAAAAGATAGAGATATGGGACAATACTGCGTCCTAACAGACAGCATTCTTCATGACATATTGCGAAACGAAACGCCTGTTTTCAAAGAAGCGCAAGATTTGATAAAACGCATACAAAACCGCAAAATTTACAAGTTTTGCGGCCAAAGTCGGCAAATTTTGCGGCCAGAATCAAAAGACGATAGCCCCAGTCTGCAAGAATCAAAAGACAAGTCCAGTTCACCAGAATTAAAAGACGACGAAATTTGTACAAAAATTGCCGAAGATTTAGCTCAAAATTCCGAAGGAAAGTTAAAAAAAGAGGATACATTTGTTTTCCCCGTTAAAATCAATTTTGGAATGAAAGGTAAAAATCCAATTGATGCTGTGATGTTTTTCAATAAGTCTCTCGAAGTAATAAGAATAAAGAGAGAACAAGTGAGTGGAATATTGCCACGAGATTTCGAGGACAAATACTTTAGAGTTTACGCAAGAAACCCCGATCATAAAGAACTGATCAGACATTTGTTTATAAAATGGTGCTCCGGGCAGAAAAATTTTCAAGAACCTTTTGGAGGATAAAAAAACAGTTTAAAGTCAGTGTTTCTATGTCTAACTGTTTTGAAAATGCACTTTACGATTTCTTAATTACATAATCACTAGTAGTTGTAATGTATTACATCAAAGCCCAAGCGAAGGATAAAAGAAAAATGACGAGCAAAATGTTAGCTAAACCTTGCTAATCATATTTTACCTTGCAAATCAGGATAAATTGTATCAAATTCAACAAAATGATTAAATATGCTCTTATAAAGTTTCGACTTTTATCAACGAAATGACTGTAGCCTGGCGACGCTTTTATTTGGTAGCCAATAATAATCATATATAAATCTATTATGCCGAAAATTGTCGAAAATTTTGAACAGCAGCTGATATAGACACTGCTATACTGTATTCCTCAGGTGATAAAAATCGACTTAAAAACAAAACGAGCCGATGTATTGGAAACGTACAAATTCTGCTGAGAGCTTTCAACTTCAACAAACCCCAATTTAAGCCATGCAAAATATGTCTTACATCTCATTGTACATAATTGTTTATCGAAGATATGATTACAGACGACACTAAATGCTGATGTCATAAACATCCCTAGGCATGACTAGTGTCACCAAATGTTTATGTATTTACTCTGTTGACTTTGCATGTATTATTTTAGAGTTGTTTTCGTGGTGGCGTTTTTATCACCAACCTTTTCTGCGATGTACAGAAAAACTTTATTCGTAAAGAATTTTGTCTGAGTTGTTTAAAATAATTCGCGTAAATTATTTTGTAATTTGTTATTTTAATTTCACTAAATTGTATGTGCTTGACACATTATCAATCAAATTCAATAAATGTTTGAAAAATAGCTATATGATAAATGTTCAACTTTCATCAACAAAATGCACAGCCCTGCTACTCCTTTTATAATATCTTCAATCAGTATTTTAAAATGAAAACATATTTTTGAATTTTATCACAAATTGCAAAAATGAGCAAATTTCTAAATAAAAATTACATAAACTATCAAATTGAGCACAAGATCATGGATGCTAAAGAATGATGCTATATACTTAAAAGATATATGTAAGATTTGGATTTGAGCTTGTTGTGTTTAATTTATTTTTTTTAAAGTTACTTTAAAAAACTTCATAATCAAAAATTTTATGCATATGCAACAGAGTCACGGCACTATTGGTTTTGAAACAATCCAAAATGATCAAGCGATTATAGGAAAGCACAATTCCATTTTCGTACATTTCATTACTTTTTGGGCGTATGCATGAAAAAACATGGCTGCTGTCTCGCGTTTTACTAAGGCTTCTGACGATATATTTTATTGTTTACCTGAAAGACAATAAAAAAGAAGAGTAAAGTTGCCACTAAATTCGACTTAAAGATATTTAAATGTAAAATAAAAAAAGTTCCTTTAAAATAACTTTATATGTATCGAGTAACATTCGTTCGCTTTTAATAGAGATATCAACAACATATGCACAAAACAAATTAATGAAAATTATAATAGCAACCTTCCTCTTCATGAATACTAATATGATTCTACTAATAAACCATTAGATTGCTTATAATGTAATTGATAATTACACGAATCTTACTCTTATTCTATAGCAAATGCTGTAATTTGATTGGCTATTATACTTCTTATCGAATTCTAATTAGATAGCAAGTAGCAAACAATTATGGTTTCTGTCTAGCGTTTTACTTAGTGTCATACGATGAATTAGATTGTTTACTTGAAAAGAGAATTCGAGAGAGTTCGTTCACAAATTTGTTCTCGATTTCCACCACCCTAAGAAGTTCATTCAGGCTTCGCCATCATCAACTATCACCTCATAAAATCTCGAGCTAGTATTCTACTTGTTAAATATCTCAAATGTACAAAATACTAAAAGGAAGTTTTAAAGCAAAAGACAGCGAAGTCTGCATGAGTGAAACAAAGAGACAATAATTGACATTCAAAGTTTGTGTTACGTAGATGAGCACAATAAAAAAGTAATATTGATTGTGATGATCATCCAATATTCATTGATAAAACATAACTATAGAATGGCGATTCGTCCAGATAGTATTCAAAATCTATAAAATCTAATTTGCCAAAAATCCTCAAAATTGGCCAGTCGGACATTACAGAGCGCTACTGCATTACCCAGACTATGATTGATAAAATTTGAGTAAGCTATGATAAAATTTGCCAACAAGTCGGTTACCTACGAATTCTGCCGAGAGCTTCCGACTTCAACATAATCCATCCCAATCCAATACAAATAACCATATTTCTTACCGTCACTGTACACATCTATACATAAAACACCTGATGATAGACAACACCAAAAGCAGACGTCATAAACATCGCCAGGCATATCCACCACGTGAAATATGACGTCACAGCTCTGACAAGTTCCGACACGAACACGTGACGTAGATTTTGAACAGCGTTCACCGTGACATTCGAAACGAGCATTGATTTCTGAAGACGTTTCATTAAAGCATTGGTCGACTCCCAGTCGGTAGTACCTGTGAAGAAAATGCATTTATAACACTAGTTCTAACTGTCTTCGACAATATAACGGAGAAACTTTTATTTGCAACAAAGTACGTACAACCAAGGGACATAGGAAGATCTTTATTGAGAAAGGGAAAGGAGGCCAATCCCTTTACAATCTCAAAACAAACGCATTCGCAATGTTTGCAAGTCAAGGTAGAAATTATTGTGGGGAAAGGGGCGGCTGTAGCTCTTGTCCTAACTGGTCAGCGGTCCCTTTAATTTACAGTTGGAAATTGACTACATGAGACCAGGTAGCTAGAATTCGATGAATTGTTAATGATTTGGGTACTATAAACTAACAAGCATCTCCAATAAATTCAATATTGCTAGTTGTTTTTAAAACAACTAAAGATTACTCACAACATCCAATAAACCTCAATATGTACCTGCTGTTCTTAAAGAACAACTAAAGACTACCCAGTATACTCAATAATCCCAATATGTACCTGCAGCTCTTAAAGAATGACTAAAGACTACCCAGTACACCCAATAATCCCGATATGTACCTGAAGCTCTTAAAGAATGACTAAAGACTACCCAGTATACCAAATAATCCCAATATGTACCTGCAGCTCTTAAAGAATGACTAAAGACTACCCAGTATACCCAATAATCCCAATTTGGTCTGGCCATTTGTTATCATCATGATAATGATCAACATTTGCTACCTGTAATGCCGTAGACAGTACTGCCAGCGACGTGCCCAGACAAAGTGATCTCATCTTTCCATCTTTGAGAAGTTATCTCGTCCAACCATCTTTGAGAGGTTGACAGCATTGCCAAAACATCAAAGGTAGCACATGGCGATTCGTGGCCGTTGTAGGTTAGATACCTGGTCTCTCAAGAGCATCTTGTGAGTTATGTGCCGGCTGGACTTGTTCCTTAAACTGCTGGAGAACAGTGCGGTTAGACCAGGTGCTGTTTGTTCTGGTAGGTTAGTTGGTCCCAGGGTCCATCTGCCATGACTCGCCGTTGTGCTGCCTTCATCCGCCATCCATCTTGTTCCGTTTTGGTATTTTGCTGTCCCAAACTATCCTTGTCTGGTTCCGGATGGAGCTCCGATGATGGACTGCATAACATCTAGCAGTAACCGAATACTCCTGCATCTGAGGTCACCACCAGTCGTCTCGACATTGTCTTGCCACTGGATCCATGAGATTTCAGAGAAGAGTGAGGTTGACGTCTGCCAGCTTTTCCTCACTATAATAAATTCTTGCAAAAGTCTTGACAACACCACTCAACCTAGAAGTTAAGATTTTTTTTCTTCCTGAAGCCCTGTGGCGATGGGCGAGCGACGAAGCAGCAGGTGTGGATACACTGGGAGCTGTAGTTGCAGACCTGCACACAGGCGGCCCAGGTCTAATGGTCGCTTTCGTACTGACTGAAGCAGCAGTGAACTCGGCGTCTACCTGGGTGTCTGAGCAGCCCTTTTTAGGGATGCACTGCTCACCTCACATGAGGAAGGGACTAGAAAAGGTGTCCTAAAAAAAGCCTGCTTTAACCCTCATCCTGGCCAGCAAGCCGCGGTTGGCGGGAATCCCACACCAGCGGTCGAAATAAAGGAAAGAAAAAATTTAAGGTGACACCGATCACCTTAGGCACATGGAATGTGCGTACATTACTTGACAACCCTTCAACAGACAGACCAGAGAGGAGGACTGCTTTAGTTGCCCGAGAACTTGCAAGATATAACATCGACATTGCAGCACTGAGTGAGACTCGTTTCGCTAATGAGGGGCAGCTGACTGAAAATGTAGGTGGCTACACTTTCTTCTGGAGTGGCCGTTCTGCCGATGAGCGTCGAGAGTCTGGGGTAAGTTTTGCCATCAGGAACCATCTTGTGCAAAAGCTTGCCAATCTCCCTAAAGGTACAAACGATCGTCTCATGTCAATGCAGATTCATCTACATGATGGTAAACGGGCCACACTCATCAGTGCCTATGCACCTACAATGAAAAATCCTGAAGATGTGAAAGACAGATTCTACGAAGATCTGGATACTATGCTTTCATCCGTGCGCAGTACTGATAAGCTGATCCTCCTTGGGGATTTTAACGCAAGGGTAGGCCGTGATTCTGCCTGGGATGGAGTCATTGGAAAGAGTGGGGTAGGCAAGTGCAACAGCAATGGCCTGGGCCTGCTGGAGTTATGCTCATCGCATGGTCTGCTTTTAACCAACACAATATTCCGGTTGTCCAACAGGAACAAAACATCATGGATGCACCCCCGGTCGAAACACTGGCATCTCATCGACTACATCATTGTCAGGAAGAAAGACAGGCAGGATGTCAGAATTACCAAGGCCATGTGTGGTGCAGAGTGCTGGACTGACCACAGACTCATCATCTCTAAAATGAACATCCGCATCAAACCAAAGAGACGTCCACAGGGATGTATGACCAAAAAGAGGATAAATGTTGCCAAGCTGAAAAACCATCAAACAAGTGCAGCTCTATCCACAGACCTAGATTCCAAAATTGCCAACTTCAATCCTGGAGGTAACGTCGAAGAAGACTGGCAATCCTTTAGGGACACAGTTCACTCAACTGCAGTTCAAGTGTTGGGCTACCCTTCCCGACATCAGCATGATTGGTTTGATGAGAATGATGAGGAGATTCAGGCCCTACTTGATGAAAAGCGCAGACTTCATCGTGCTTACCAAGATGATCCAACTTCAGCCTACAAGAATGCCTTTGCCAGTGCACGGAGAACAATTCAGTGTAAGCTGCAGGCGATGAGAGATTCCTGGCTCAGTGCTAAGGCTGATGAAATCCAAGCCTATGCCGACAGAAATGATACAAAACGGTTCTATGAAGCTCTCAACACCATATATGGACCTCGATCGTCAGGAAATTCCCCTCTCTTGAGCTCAGATGGGACTTCACTAATTACCGAGAAGGAAAAGATCTTGCATAGGTGGGCTGAACATTTTGAAGCTGTCCTCAACCGTCCTTCTTCCATCAATGATAAGGCAATATACAGGTTGCCCCAGGTCAACATCAACACGACCATGGATGTTCCACCTGTTGAATCAGAAGTCAGGGAGGCATTAAACAAGCTCTCTAGTGGTAAAGCCCCTGGTGCAGATGCTATTCCATCCGAGATATATAAAGTTGGTGGTCCCACATTTATCCAGAAGCTCACTGACCTCTTCCAATCCTTCTGGGCAAAAGGATCCATCCCCCAGGAATTGAAAGATGCCTCGATTATTCACCTATACAAGAGGAAGGGTAATCGTCAGTCCTGTGATAATCATCGTGGCATCTCACTCCTATCAATAGCTGGGAAAGTTCTTGCCCGAGTGTTACTAAACCGGCTAATAGACCACCTTGAAGAAGGACTGCTACCAGAATCACAGTGTGGTTTTCGTAAGGGCCGTGGAACTGTTGATATGATCTTCGCAGCACGACAACTCCAGGAAAAGTGTCAAGAGCAGAACCAAGATCTGTACACCACCTTTGTTGATTTGACAAAAGCTTTTGACACAGTCTCCCGTCAAGGCCTGTGGAGAATTATGTCCAAGTTTGGCTGTCCAGAGAAATTCATCTTGATGGTTCGTCAATTTCACGATGGCATGTTGGCCAGAGTACTAGCTGATGGTGAATACTCCGAACCCTTCCCAGTCACAAATGGTGTCAAACAGGGCTGCGTACTGGCTCCAACATTGTTCAGCATGGTTTTCACTGCCATGTTAACTGATGCTTATCACGATGGTGTAGATGGTATCAGCATCAAATATAGAATGGATGGGAGCGTATTCAACCTACGTAGACTGCAAGCTATCACCAAGGTTAAGGAGACCATCATTCGTGACTTCCTGTTTGCTGATGACTGCGCCCTCAACGCGTCTTCAGAATCGGAGTTGCAGATCAGCATGAATAAATTTTCCGCAGCCTGTGACAACTTTGGTCTAACCATCAGTACCAAGAAGACAGAGGTCATGCATCAGCCTTCTCCTCGTACACACTACACTGAGCCTACCATACTGGTGAATGGACAGCGTCTGCAGACAGTTGACAAATTCACATATTTAGGAGCACTCTTTCCAGAGCCGTGACTATTGATGCAGAGGTGAACAACCGGATCGCCAAAGCCAGCTCCGCATTTGGCAGGTTGCGCACAAACGTTTGGGAGCGTAGAGGGATCACCACTGCAACGAAACTGAAGGTCTACTCTGCCATAGTATTACCAACTCTCCTTTTTGCATGTGAATCCTGGACTGTTTACCAGAGGCATGCGAGACAGCTGAATCACTTCCACACAACCTGTCTCCGTCGGATATTGAGAATCAAGTGGCAAGACAAGGTGCCAGACACAGATGTCCTCTCTCGATCCAACCAGCCATCCATCTACACCTTGCTGATGAGAGCACAGATCCGATGGGCGGGCCACATTGCTCGCATGCCAGATGAGCGGATACCTAAGCAACTGCTATGGTGAGCTCTCCAACGGCAAAAGATCAGTCGGAGGCCAGAAGAAGCGGTTCAAGGACACATTAAAGACCTCACTGAAGTCCTTTAACATCAACACCGCAACATGGGACAAACTTGCAGGAACCGATCAACCTGGCGCGATCTCATCTTTAAGGGCTGTCAAGCATCAGAAGAAAGGCGGACTGTGGATGCCAAACAGAAACGTGAGCTGCGGAAATCAAGAGCAGCCAGTGCTTCAACATCAGATGCATCTCTGGTTTGCCCTTCGTGTTCAAGAACATTCCGTGCCAAGATTGGACTCATTAGCCACCTCAGAACTCACCGTACCCAATCTTCTAGTACTTGAGTTAACTGGTCAAGGTCATCATCGCTTGCGATGGACGAACAACATAAACTAACAAGCATCTCCAATAAATTCAATATTGCTAGTTGTTTTTAAAACAACTAAAGATTACTCACAACATCCAATAAACCTCAATATGTACCTGCTGTTCTTAAAGAACAACTAAAGACTACCCAGTATACTCAATAATCCCAATATGTACCTGCAGCTCTTAAAGAATGACTAAAGACTACCCAGTACACCCAATAATCCCGATATGTACCTGAAGCTCTTAAAGAATGACTAAAGACTACCCAGTATACCAAATAATCCCAATATGTACCTGCAGCTCTTAAAGAATGACTAAAGACTACCCAGTATACCCAATAATCCCAATATGTACCTGCAGCTCTTAAAGAATTACTAAAGACTACCCAGTATACCCAATAATCCCAATATGTACCTGCAGCTCTTAAAGAATGACTAAAGACTACCCAGTACACCCAATAATCCTGATATGTACCTGAAGCTCTTAAAGAATGACTAAAGACTACCCAGTATACCAAATAATCCCAATATGTCCCTGCAGCTCTTAAAGAATGACTAAAGACTACCCAGTATTCGCAATAATCTCAATATTTACCTGCAGCTCTTAAAGAATGAATAAAGACTACCCAGTATACCCAATAATCCCAATGTGTACCTGCAGTTCTTAAAGATATCGTCAGAAAGACCAAAAGGATAACTGGAGTCAAATATTGAAGAGAAGCCACAGATAAATAATAAAAAACACTAAAAATCTAAAAAAACACATAAAATACAACGATATTTGAAAGTGAACATTATAATATGAAGGATATTGCGAAAATGTACATTAGCTCAAATTAATAATATAAACACAGAAATTTACATAACAGTTTTCTGACTGTATGGCATGATCATTTAAAAATACTTAACAACTAGTTCAGTTTCATTATGTTAATTTACTTCTCTTTAGAGATATTTACATTTCTTCATTGTGCAAATACTCTTACCAAGACGCCATTTTGCATAGTTCTATATAGTTTCAAGAAATAATTGTTTTCTTTGATAGTTGAAAATAAAATTTTAACAGAGCAACTAAGAACGCATTCATCAACACATGCATGAGGAACATTGATGTTCTATTTACGAAATAGAAAACGTTCATCCTGTTTCTATAGAATTTTAGAAACACGCGGGGAATGTTTAGAAAATAAAACTCACTTTCTAAATGCTTTTCTTCAGACCAGTATTCTTATATGTTTTTTGTTCTGCTTCTTGCATAGTACAAAATTTTTCTGCTTGCTTTTGGAAATTCGTTTTAATTGAAAAGAAAAATTACACGTACTGGCCTTAAATAATTCAATAAAATCAAAAACCAGCGTAGTAAAATGTCGAATCGTTAACTTCGTAACAAACTGTGAATTTCCATACAAATCTAAACATTTAATTTAAATTGTAGCGAACAAAAATTAAATATGTTTCACCGCAGTCCATCGGTCGAAGAACAAATATTTCACAAAATGTGGCTTCCGCAAAATCGTAAATTAAGTAGAAATAGTGTCGGGAATAAATTAAAACAAAATTTTTACCTTTTTTTGCAAAGCAGAACTATTCGTTCTGCCCGCTTCCCTTTTCATTCTATTCACTTTAACTTTGGCGATGTCTAAGAAAGCCTGTAGATGCATTTTGGTAAGGAAAAACCGCATAAGACAACAAAGTAAGATGACTCCAATGCGAATGTTATCAAAGTTTGAGTCCGATACTCTATAAAATACACAAACGTTAGTTTAGAGAAAGTAGCTACAAAAACATGAGAAGAACGAGGGAAGTCATTTCTTCACTTACGAAAATGAATTATTTCTGCTCGTGAAGTATTCGCGAGCCAAGGGTTTGATCCACAATAAAACAAGACAAAGAGGAGCGAAGAAATTTACATAAAAAAGGACACTAAAAATTTAAAAAATGGTCAGCGGTCGTACATTAAACCCATTATCTCAATACATGACAACAAAGTGAAGCGGATTCATAAACACAATTTAATTATGATGAATATTTAATGTCATTAACGCTACACATACTACTTATGGAAGAAACTTGTTAGACAAGTATTCCTACTTACAGAAGCAACCTGTTAGATTTGTATTGCTCTATCAAATCCAAGAACATTATTGATATTCTAATGCCAGGAAAGCCGAGGAAGGCTCCGATAATGCCCGAGATAACAGCGAGCGCGAGTTTGAAAATCCATATTGGAGCGGATCCCCCTCTGTTGAAGACAATTAAGACAAAGTGTAAGAACATTAATGCTTCGTTATGGTTTTAATTTAAATGTCGCGTTCTTGAGACTCGTGTCGTAAGGAATTGACTTACTCTCGTGTGAATCCTTGTTTCTTCAAAAATAATTCAGCTTCTTCAGAGAATATTTCGTAACCTAAAGAGAAAGTCGACTCAAACATGAGACGAAAAAGATTCGGAGTAGATTGAAAGCTCATAAAACGGAGTAAGTGAAAATTTACTAATGTTTCTTGATTAGAAAGACAAGATTTCGTCGGTATTTGGCAAAATACGGAATCTTGCTTCTAGGAGACACCTTTTAAAGTACAGTTATTTTAACTTTTTAGAAGAACTTCATTGTCCACGAAAGTCGTAAAAAAACAAAGAGCTGTGTTATTGCGATGTAAAAAAAAACAAACAAAATGCAAGTGATGAAGCTTGATTTGAAGGTCAGAAAGACCCGTCGGGCAGGTAAACAGAGACTTACCAAGACCACAGTATAGAGAAAATACAGTAGAACCACTCCATTGAATCTTTTCTTGCAACGCATATCTTATTAGGCATGTGATTATTATATTGGCAACCAGTAAATTGCATTTTGTGACCAATAGGATTGACGATATGGCAAACGGCAGCTAGTAAACTAATTAAATATACGCAGCCATTTGCACATCGAAGTGAACCTACTGTACATTCCTATACTGTGCCAAGACTTAAGAATGTTTCTAAGCAAATAAAAGCAGGTCGAATTAACGGGGTTCGTGAATGTTAGTTAAGTTAGTTTAGTTCAAATCCGAATTCTTGTAAATCAGGATCAATGTGAGATGATCCGAAGTGAATCTTAGAGAAAAGCAAATCAAATCTGACCCAAATGAAGCAACACATAATAATTGTCTTCCAATCCTTTATAATTCGCTGCACTTTCTCATCTAATAACGACATCTCATTCAGCGCGTTATAATGATTTCACGGTTTTCTGCTCATTTCAGTGATATTTATGTTAAAAAAATATTCGAGAAAAAGTTTAACAACTAAATTAAAAGATTACCCGAGTCCAAATTGAACTCCAACATAGATTCGTCGACTACCAAAATGGCCATCGCCAGAAAAAAGAAAAAAACACCAAATGTTAAGCAGACAGATTTTTCTCCTGAATCATCACCCGACCAATAGGAAGCCGTGAGCAGAAACAAAACACGTCTGTATGTAGAGTAAAGGAAAGCATAACAACCTTACAGGAGGGGTGGTCACTGTCCCATGTGTCGTGTTTATTTAGCTCTGAGCTAGGCTGGACTCGAATTTAAAATACATAAATACCTTCATTACGCAAGGGTCACAAAAATATCAGAGAAGCATTTTCAATACATTAAATACATTAAGTAATGAGAAGAGATCGTACTTAGCTTGTGAGGGGGGTGGGCCCAACCATTAACAATCTTCGGCTCCGCATACCCTTAGTCCTTGCCCCCGTCTATATTTTTTTAAAAAAGATAAATTCTGTCGACCGACATAGTGAAGGAACGTTTTTGTCTATTCAATAGAATAAAGAGATTTTCAACAATCACAGCAATCGCCTTCCGCTCAATAAATCGAAGAGCCGCAAAAATCCTCGTGGATCAATCTTTGATTCTAGTAAAGTGGCGAGTCAGCAAGTTTGGTCCTGTTATGAACATTTGAGATGATTCTTTATTTCTATAGAAATCTTGTGCTTTTGCAGTCAGTAAACACAGAAATATTTACACTGCACGACCATCTTTAAGAACTGACCACGGAACTTCGTGAGTGTTTAGCTTTAAGAACTGACCACGGAACTTCGTGAGTGTTTAGCTTTAAGAACTGACCACGGAACTTCGTGGGTGTTTAACTTAAGAACTGACCACGGAACTTCGTGAGTGTTTAACTTTAAGAACTGACCACGGAACTTCGTGAGTGTTTAGCTTTAAGAATTGACCACGGAACTTCGTGAGTGTTTAGCTTTAAGAACAGACCACGGAACTTCGTGAGTGTTTAGCTTTAAGAACTGACCACGGAACTTCGTGGGTGTTTAACTTTAAGAACTGACCACGGAACTTTGTGAGTGTTTACATAAATGCTTGAAGCACGAGAAAAGACGAAAGTAAGATCGGCGAAAGAAATGCCAAACTTTGCTGGCAATTTTTATGTCGGAATGTTTGGTTGCAAACTTAACCTAAAATATCGCATTTGTACAGAACCAACCATCCATAAGTCGAGTTAACACCCAAGTTACCAAGTTAGAACCCGGAAAATATGCAAAAATATTCTAATGTCAATTCTCGGTCACAAAATTTTTGATAACATTTTGATAACAATTTTGATAATTTGCAAACTTAATGAAAACGAAACGAATGTCCGAACTTCCACCATAGCAGTTTGCCTTCATAATTGACGAGCTTTTGATTAGCCTGAGTGCTTAGAACGCGCAATGTCTAACTCAATTTTCTAACAGTTAGAAAGGTTTTTTACAGTACACGATGAACAAAAATATCGCGGATTTTACTGCAATAAAATGAAAGGTCTGCATAAATTTGCCGACTTTGAAGACTGAAAGTCAGCAATCAGGCCGACTCGTTTTCAAGGCTGACATTAAGTCAAGCTTAAGATCCCTTTCGTTTCATTAAAAGGATACATGGCAAAAATATGCCCAAGAAATTCCATAATGGCGTCACACTGATGTCGTTACGTAAAGAGCGGGAAATAAACACGAAATCCCCTCGATGATGATATTGAATATCACGGCAGACACAGCAAAATCAACGAGCCACTTGTATTCTGTATAATAACATTGAAATATCAAATCTGTTTCATCAACCTAATGGGAAAGTGTTTTATGTTAGTTTTACAATATAATTTTATAGTGTATTTATTGAGGGGGGAGGGGGGGAGTTTCCAACTTTCAATACTTCGAAAGAAAGGGGGCATGGTGCAAAGTTTCAGTACATATCGACAATAATGAAAGCTTGAGGTTATAACGTTATGGCATATTTACAGGGGGGTAGTCATCTTCAAATACATGAAAAGAAAGGGGGGCGTTACAAAATTTCATTACACATCTACTTACTATGCCGAAAGATTGAAGTTATGATGTAATGGGGTATATAGTGGGGGGTAGTCATCTTCCAATAACTCGAATGAAAGAGGGATGGTGCAAGAATTTTATTACATATAGACAATGTTGAAAGTTGTGGAATGTAGCTATTTTTTGACTATTGTCATTGGAGCTTGTGGGAGAAAAGTTAGATAGTGTTTTCCACCATATAAGAAAACCACGTTTGTTTTAAATGTCTCTTTAAAAAGCAGAAAAACTACTATATAAAGATGACAACTAATACAATAAACCCTTTAACACTTATAACAATGAAAACATGGTTTTATTTTGTGAAACAATAACAACCCTATTTTAAAATACTTAAAATAGCCAATATGCAGTGGATAGTGCTTTCGAAGCTAAGTACAACCTACCCCCTCCAGTAAATGAATGAAGATATTCTTGCTTGTCTGCAAGCAACAAGACATGCAAGACGCCTATCGGGCGTTCACTCGTCCTGCTTGAGACCAGAGTTTGGTCATATTTGAGTATTATAATATAGTTGTCAAATTGCACAACAAAATTCACAGCAATGTAATCTCACATATGGCAATGTATTATGTAAGTAAATAATGTGTCATTATACGTTTTATTACTTACACGTGAAACTACCCAAGACAGATTTCTTTAGTACAAGGACTTCATGTTAGCATGTAATCTTGTGATTGACAGCACAACAAAATCCGAATTTTTTTCAAATTCGGGCAAGCAATTTCTGATTGAACAGTTTATCAATCACAGTCGCATTCATAATTTACGTCAATGAAACAAAACCTCACACCCTGCCTCAAAATCATATGCTCAATGAACAAGAAAGACTTTACCCCCCGATTCTTACAATAATACAACCCCCCTGTATATACACGCAAAGACTGAATAAACCACTGATACAAGAGACACTGCTTATGACCACATTTTGGGGCTATTGATTCTAACAGTCCTCAAAAAGTTAGTTGACAACTTCTACAATACTTTCTACATACAAAAAAAATATCAAAAATAATATAACTCAGGTACAGGATCAGAAAACGACGGCGCACCCAAAGTCCTGGATCCCAGAAATGCACTTTCAACAACAATGTAGAAATTATGTTGTAAGTTATGCGTTGTAATAGATTTTTTGCAAAGTATGTTTTGTTTATAACTTTTTAAACACTGCATAGGTACAAGAAAAGTATATTGTATTATAAGTTCAACGCATATTTATATATTCTTGTGTTCCATTCCGAAAAGGTTCACCCATTTTTTTCAAAATATGTCTTTGAACACACTAGAGCTTTGGAAATGCACATTTTCTTGAAGTTGTCAAATCATTATTTGAGATGTGTCGGAATTAATACAACCCCATGATGAGGTCATACGCACTTTAAAATGTGACAAATTTGAAATATACTTCAGGTATTGAAAAGCAATCTTACATTCACTGTTCTCAGTTGAATGTTCATGTTGCAAGGTATGGATAACGGCTCAGAAGATATAAATTGAATTGATGCTCCATTATTTTCTTCCTTTTTCCTACAGAACAAAAAGAGAAACATTAACGGTGTTTATGAATAACAACTGTTTAGTTTATGCTGATTTTAGCCTGGACAAGATGACAATAGAATAACAGATCAATTGTAAGAGCCTGTTCATATAAGAAAGGCAAACCCAGTTTGGCTGCGCTGGCCAGTTTGCCAGAGGCTAATATGTATTTGAAGTTGTATAAGACAGGCTGGTTCTTCTTAAATGCTGTCAATCCCCCTTCTAAAATGTTGTCAATACTTGTTCCATTTTGTGCTAAAGTTCAAATGTGTTTAGACTTGCACATTCCAACATTTTCAAATATTAATTTGTTGCATTTTGTGCCAATATTTGAATGTGTTTAAACTTGAACATTCCACGATTTTTTTGATTTGAAACCACAATCATGATGCTACTAGCTACAATGCAGCATAATTAGATAAAACTTTTAAACTTATTTTTCAAATGATCATTGTCGCTTTTGAATTAGCCGCCATATTAGAATAAACATGTGAAACAACAGCATGTACAGTCTCCTCACTTCCAGCCCAGTTAAGCCAGGGAAGCCCATTTTATGCTTTCAAATAAGACCTTTAATGAGGAGAAACTGCTTCATTTGGGGGTAATCTTGCCAAGCCAGACTGGACCATTCTTCACATGAAGATAATTTTTAAAACAAAGTGAAATAATATACAAGGTAAGATATATTGAAAAAGCTATATCATACTGTGCAGGCCCTTATAAAATGTCAAAAATATATCGCAAAATGTGTACCGAAAGTGTAGCAATAGTAACAATGTAAAAAAAAACAATAAATGCAACGACAAAATGTGAAAACAAATCTTTATAATTAATACCTTGCATCAGAACGCTTAGCTTTATTTGACTTTGTTCTTTGTGTTTTACCAAGGAGTTTTCTCAACTCTGTGTCAGAGGATGGTACATGACGTACCAATCTAAGGAAAGACATATGTGAAAATTACAACAGAAAATTTCAAAGACAAACACCTGAGACAACATACCCACTGCATAATAACCAAGTGGCCACACATATGGTGAAAATTTGTGAAGAAACAATGCTACCATCAAGGTTAGGACAACTTTTATACCAAACAGTGCCTAAAAGTAAAAAGCCAAATCCAGATGAATTTTCTATGATGTATAGTATTATTTCTAAAGGGAGATTGGGAAATGGTTTAGATTATAAGAGCAGTTAACTGAGTGCAAAGTTCCAAACATGACAAAGTATTCCCATATGCATGTTAGGTGGGAGCAAGCACCTAAAACCTTGGGCAGACAAAGCCAGAAGGGAGGGGGAGATTAAGAAATGGTTAAGTTTATAAGACCAGTTGACTGAGTGCAAAGCTCCAAACATGACTAAAATATTCCCATATGCATATTAGGTGGAGTAGGCACCTAAAACCTTGGGCAGACAAAGCTAGAAAGGCATTATTTGCAGGAAAGTTTGGTGAATTAAGCCATTTCAGATTAAAAATGTTTAAATTGCTCCCCTTAAAATGTTAGCCCGTACATGTAGGAGTACACCACAAAAACAAACCATCGTAAAGGCTTTGTTCAATCAGAAGCAACTTCTAGCAACAAGTTTGGCTGACAATTTCTTCAGATATTTTTTGGTTTGCTGCACCAATTTATTGTGCCATGAAAAGTTTTTCTTGCAAGTTATATAGCTTTTCTGTTAAACACATCTACTAATTTTCAACCAACAAGATAAAATTAACAATGCAACATCCTTGGCGTCAGGCGAGTCAAAGATGATCTGTAATACCCAGAAATTCATGTTATTGAATATGCTCGAGGATTCCAAATAGTTTATGAAAACTGAAATTGCCGCTTTCCCTTCTACTATGATGAACTTTATAAAAAATTTATAGCCTGTTGATCAACGTACGTTAACAAATCCAACAATTTATGAATAACAAAAAACGAATCGGTTACAAATTAAAAACTAAAGTTAGCAGAAGAACATCCTGGAAAATTTGTTTTAGACTCATGATTTCTCTGGTCTTGTCAATGTTGTGATGACAAATATCGTCTGCTAATACAAAACTTCCCACTACTGACATTGTATTGCCTTGTTTACACATATTTTCAAAGGAGGATAAATCTTTTGCTGGGCCATTTAGAGGTTCAAAATCTACCTAGCCTTTAATCCGTTTGAAAGTGTTTTGAAGTTCACATTGCTAAAATGAATGATAACAGCGGCAACAATGAATTTGCAATATTGACATGCAACATGAATCGATAAATTTAGAAAGAAAATGTTGCAAAATCGCTGATTAACCACTGAGTTACGTAAAACTTGCTGAAAAAACAAACACAAGCATTAAGACCACTTAAAGGGAGATTGTTGTTTTTGCAGCAGCATAAGGTGTCCATTCTAAGAAAAATTTCGGAAGATATTTGCCATTGTACATGATCTATAATTTATTGTTTAAAATGCTGTGTTTAATAACACATCTTGAATTTATTCTCCACAGAAACCAACGACGCTCTACCCTTTTTTGTCTTTCACGAGAACTACTTCAAAATAAAAATCCCAGAAAACTTATAGAAAGACTCAGAATTAAATCACAAAGCCAGCATTTATGATTTTCTTTGATCCACAGTGCTGTATGCAAGATTTGTCTAGATAAATTTCCTTATAAGGTTGCTTCTTATATGGTAAGCTGTGTGAGCCGTGTCTAAGTATGCCGAAACATGTTTGCTATAAAAAAATTTGTCGTCTATTTTAAATGTCTTATAACCATTCTATTTATTCACTTCGCATAGAAGATGGCATGAAGTATGCCGAAACAACAAAGCTTTTGAGATAAAAACAGTCAAAAATTCTAATGTTATAGTGCTGCAACAACAGGCAGAAAGGCGAAGCCAGAGAATAGATAAAATAGCAAATAAATTTGCCGGACTTTCAAACGGATGCTTTCCTCAACCCTCTAAACTTTACTGAGAAGATGGTCATAAATTTAGCGACCATAATACAGCTGTTATTTGTTTCTTTGAAACGTATTCCGAATGCAGCCTTAATTATCATATCCTTTATACTAATCTCGAAGGAACCTTAATAGATCAAGTAGAGTTCCTATAGAAAGGAATGCAATGTTTTGGTCCTACAGGCTCACAGATTCATAAGACACGGTTGAATAACAAATGCAGAAATTCACTGCATTGATCATAGATTTACTTATCTATATCGATATATGGCAGCTGGTTTAACTATTTAATTTTCCACGTACGGTAATTTTCCTTTTAAGGTGGGCCACCTGTCATTGCACGTTTAATATTTAATGAAGATTTGTGTGTTGTCGTGTTTTAGAAATTGTTGTGTTTAATTTATAGTTCTCTTACAGCTACATTTACAAACTTCGTAATGAAAAACTTTAGGCATATGCAACAGAATGTCGGCACTATTGCTTTTCAAACAATCCAAATGTTAAAGCGATCATAAGAAAGCATAATTCCATTTTGACACATTTCATTGTTTTTAGCGCATGCGTGAAAAATCACCACAGCAATTATTTTATTGGTTCATATATTGGCGTTGCCTATGCACGTGATTTCTAGCAGGCAAAAAAAGAAAGGCGAGTCTGTTTGTTATCTTTCAATCCTTTTGGTTGGAGAGAGAAGATTACACGAAGCTTGTGTTTGGTGAAGAAATATAAACGGCAGTGATCTTTATATAAAAACTATAAGACATAGTTAAGTAGAAGGTGGGTGAAGTTATTTCTTATTCTTTATATAATGAAAGTGTCGTGATGAGTATTTAGCATTTACCAGATGAAAAGGATTCATTGCCTCAAAGAAACTAAATAAAAGCAAAATGCAATAAACGATAAAACAGGCAAAAGATATTTCAGTGAAAAATTCTCACTGGAGCTTGTCTTGTTTTGAACACAGTCTAAATATTTCATTTGATTTTGTAAGCTCGCTCTCGTCGCGACGCACTTTTATTGAGAGTACTTTATCATGCCATTGTTTTATTGACATTTTACTTGAGACATAACAAAATAAATATTATAGAAACCTTCGTCTTCTGAATTCTATCTTAAATAGTTGCATTGCAAACAGAAACCTTCATTCCCATCGTTCATTCAAAATAAATTTTAAGTTTTGTAGTACGACAAAATTATTTTGAAACTGGAACAGCTGCTACAAAAAATTTCGTGATCATTTTAATAGTTTATGATCACAAACAAAAATATGGAGAACAAAAAATTGTAGTTGATATGAACGAGCATCGATAAATTCGTTAAATGTACTTATTTTATTGGAAGAAAATGCATACGGAAGAAAATAATTTTTTTCAAGTATTGTTGAACTCATGATATTAGTTCTCCTTTATGTTGGGAAGACAGCATGTATGGTCGGTTCAATACGAGACTGCCACCTGTATATGTACATTACAAATAAGACACTTGTATCAAGTGTTTTCTCGAAAAGATTAACTTCATAACACCTCGTCGCAACGCAAATACCTTGTTCACCAGCTACAAAAGAAGGTTTGTTGACGCTACGTTAAATAAACTACTAGAAAAGTCTTTGAAATCGGAACAGCTGCTAGGAAAAAATTTCCGCGATAAATTTGTTCTTCCATTCTCACACACAAAAGAAATTTACTTAAAATGTGAGCACAGGAAGTTGCCATGGATATAAATCCATAATTTTATCAGATGTACTACCTTTTATTGGAAGAAAATGCCGACAACAATATAATTTTCTTCAAGTTAGAAACTATTACTAAACTCATAAACTCTACGTTATTTTATGTTTTTAAAAGTCGGTTGAATGCAAAACTTCCGGCTTCCGTATTACCCCGCACTAAAATATTTTTAAATTTGCATGTTTTTTATGAACTTTAGCCATTGCAAGACTACATAGTTCTTAAAATCAACATAGCTAACGTGAATAAGAACATAAATCTCCAAAATTGTAAAGAAAGTTCTGCAAAAAGACTAAATTTTGTAAAAGATTATCGTGACTGAAGAAATGTTTCATTGATTCGTGGCTATGTGTCATTTCTACCATTTTTACCAACATTGGAGATTTAGCGGTCAGAAAAATAAACAAATGTGTATTGATTGGTTAGATTTTACTAAATGAATATTTATCACCAATGACATTGTAAAGGAGGTACTTTTAATTTAAAATTAACAGCTATTATTTATTTTGCTAAAACCTAGACACAATTAAAAAATATTGTTCATCGTTACTTCGATCTATATAGGTTAAAAGCTGACAATTAAGTAATTCAACAATATTCTTTTCGAAGGTGTAAGTTACCTTATCAGTGACGTATTCAAAATAACTTTTTGGAAACCTTTCAATGCCGATAACAAAAAAATGATGATTAGATCGTTAAGATGTGATCATTTCGGGTAGAATTAAAACTTCATCTTCACAAAAGTTACACTTTCTCTTCTTTTTGCACATTGAACAAAATTGAGCATTCTACGTCTGATGACTTTGACATTTCTTATAGAAGCCAAACTGTTTACTATGTCAAAATTAGTATGAAAAATGCAAATTAAGAAGTCATCTGCATATATAGAATAAATATAAACTAAAATTTACGTTTTCAAATCGGAACGGAAACTGCGAAAAAAACTTTGTACTTTTGTGCTCAGAGACAAAAGAAATTTGCAGAAAATTTTAAAACGCGGAGCTCACATGAACTTTGGCTGTAATAAAATTTGTCAGAGTTATCATTTTTACATCGAAAGAGAAATGCCGGCAAGAAAACAATTTTCGTCAAGGATTCAATTGGGTGTTCTCATCCATTTTGTGGTGAATACCAACAACATCGATTCAACAAAAAGAACTTCCTGAAACTGACTATTGTAGTGGCCGATTTACAATTATTTTGAATACGAATATAGTTTTGAACTTCAGTACAGTATAAGGCTTTGTTTACATGAGACCGGAAAGAAGTGAAACCGGAATGAAAAGTGGAATTTGTTGCATGTTTTCATGGACCGGCACAAAATCACGAAAAATCTTCATTCGTGCAATGTCTCTTTTGCAGCTAATTTACACTTGCTAGCCACTTTGCTTTTGTAACTTGCTTTTGTGCGCATGTGTTGATGCCATTTCAGAGCGGTCTATTACAGGAAAGCATAGTTCTATTTTCTTACATTTCATTGTTTTATAGCGCATGAGTGAAAAATCACCAAAGCAAGTAATTTATTGGTTAACAGATTCGCTTTGTGTATGCACGTGATCTCTACCAGGCAAATAAAGAAAGGGCGAGTCTGTTTGTTATCTTTCAATCGTTTTAGTTGCAGAGAAGATTACACGGAGCTTGTGTTTGGTGAACAAATATAAACGTCAGTGATCTTCATATAAAAACGATAAGACATAGTTAAGTAGAAGGTGTGTGAAATTATTTCTTATTCTTTATATAATGAAAGTGTCGTGATGAGAATTTAGCATTTACCAGATGAAAAGGATTCATTGCCTCAAAAAAAACAAAATAAAAGCAAAATGCAATAAACGATAAAACTGGCAAAAGATATTTCAGTGAAAAATTCTGACAGGAGCTTGTCTTGTTTTGAACACAGTCTAAATATTTCATTTGATTTTGCCGGCGCCAGCTCTCGCTTCTCGTCGCGAAGCGTTTTTGTTGAGAATATTTTATCATACCTTTGTTTTTACTTCAGACATAACAAAATATGTAGAAACCTTCGTCTTTTGAATTCTATCTTAAATAGTTGAACTGCAATCAGAAACCTTCATTCCCATCGCTCATTCAAAATAAATTTTAAATTTTTGAAATACGACAAAAATGTTCTGATATTGGAACAGCTGCTACAAAAAATAGTTCGTGATCATTTTAGTAGTTTATGATTACAGACAATAAATATGGAGAACAATAAAAAATTGTTGTTGATTTGAACGAACACCGATAAATTCGTTAAATGTACTTATTTCTATGGAAGAAAATGCATACGGAAGAAAATGATTTCGTTCAAGTATTGTTGAACTCATGATATTAGTTCTCCTTTATGTTGGGAAGACAACATGTATGGTCGGTTCAATACGAGAGTGCTACCTGTATATGTACATTACAAGTAAGACAATTGTATCATGTGAGTGTTTTCTCGAAAAGATTAACTTGATAACACCGCCTCGCAAAGAAAAAACCTGTTTCATCAGCTACAAAAGAAGGTTCGTTGACGCTACGTTGAGTAAACAACTAGAAAAGTATTTGAAATCGGAACAGCTGCTAGGAGAAAAACTTCCGCGATAAGTTTGTTCTTTCATGCTCACGCACAAAAGAAATTTACTTTAAAATGTGAGCACAGGGAGTTGCCATAGATATAAATCCATAATTTTATCAGATGTACTATCTTTTATTGGAAGAAAATGCCGACGACAAAATAATTTTCTTCAAGCTAGCAACTATTACTGAACTCATTAACTCTACGTTATTTTATGTTTTTAAAACGTCGTTTGAATGCAAAAATTCCGGCTTTCGTATTACCCCGCACTAAAAGATTTAAAATTTGAAAGAACACATATACACCTATACACCAGACACATTTGAACAACAAATACAGAAATTCACTGCATTGATCTACAACTTTTTTAGATCTACATTGATATATGGCAGCAGATTTATCTATTTAATTTTCAATATAAACAGAAATTTTCGTTTTAAGGTAGGCTACCTGCCACTGCACGTTTAATATTTAATTAAGATATATGTAAGATTTAGATTTGAATTGTTGTGTTTAATTTATATTTCTTTTATAGCTACCTTAGAAAACTTTGTAATGAAAAATTTTAGGCATATGCAACAGAATCTCGGCAATCGGCAATACTGGTTTTGAAACAATCCAAAATGTTTTAGCAATTATAATAAAGCGTAGTTCTATTTTCCTACATTTCATTGTTTTATGGCGCACGCGTGAAAAATCCTCCCAGCAAATAATTTATTGGTTCAATCTCATCGAGAACGCTTCAAGATGAGAAACAAGAATTTTCAAAGACGAAACCATAGGAAGGCTTTGTCAATAGGAGGCAACTTCCAGCAACAAGTTTGGCTGAAAATTTCTTCAGATATTTTTTGGTTTGCTGCATATATGCAGTAACATAATTTATCTCAAGTCATAATGTGAAATTCTCGTACAGAAAAGACGATACCTGTTATCACCAGAACATATAAACGATTAAAACGAGAAGATAAAGTTATTATGATGTACCATGAAAATTTTTCACGTATATAACTGTTCTGTTAAACACACAGAAAGTTCCGCAACATCTAAAAATGCATGATATTGAATATGCTTGATGATTCCAAATCGTTAATGAAAAGTGAAATTGCAGTCTTCGGTTTTACTATGCTAAACTTTATAAAAAAAATTAAACCCGTTCATCAACGTGCCTTAACAATTCCAACAATTTATGAATAACAAAAAACTAATCGATTACAAATTAAAACTAAGATTAGTAGAAGAACATATTGGAAAATTTTGTTCTAGACTCATAAACTCTTTGGTCTTGTCAATGTTGTGATGACAAATATCGTCTGCTAATACAAAACTTTCCACTACTGACATTGTATTGCCTTGTTTACACATATTTTCAAATGAGGATAAATCTTTTGCTGCGCTATTAGAGGTTCAAAATCTACCTAATCCCTAAGTCGTTTGAAAGTGTTTTGAAATTTACATGGCTAAAATGAATAATAACTGCGGCAACAATCAATATGCAATATTGACATGCAACATGAATCGATAGATTTAGAAAGAAAATATTGCAAAATTCGCTGATTAATCATTGGGTTACGTAAAATTTGCTAAAAAAACAAACACGCGCATTAAGACCGCTTAAAGGAACATTGTTATTTTTGCATCAGAATAAGGTGTTCATTCTATGAAATATGTCGAAAGATATTTGTCAGTGTACATGATATATAATTTATTGTTTAAAATGCTGTGTTTAATAACACATATTGAAATTATTCTACTCAGAAACCAACGCCGCACCCTTTTCTTCTCTACCACAAGAACTACTTCAAAATAAAAATCCAAGCAAATTTATATAAAGACTCGGAATTAAATCCCAAAGCCAACATTTATGACTTTCTTTCATTCACATTGCTGTCTGTAAGATTTGTCTAGATAATCTTCCTTATAAGGTTGCTTCCTTATAAGGTAAGCTACATGTCAGTGCACATTTTATAATTAATTGTTTAAAAATACACATTTAAGTTATGGGTTTGAACATGTTGTGTTTAAAGCCAAAGATCACGAGAAGGTAGGAGAACAGAAACGACGGAAGCCAAGGTTTATTACTTTAAATGAAACTAAAGCCATCTAAGTAATTTGCTTTATTTTAAATTTTCAATAAATGTAGGATATGGGAGATCGTGCAACAGCAACGAATGAAACAAGCCAGTTGGAAAAACGATATTCAACGATCCAATTCATGGCTTCATCGAGCTTCATCCTTTGTTGGTCAAAATTATCAACACACCACAATTCCAGCGTTTGAAAGATATCAAGCAGTTGGGAATCTGTGACTTCGTTTACCCTGGAGCAACTCACACTAGGTATAGTTATTGATACTAAAAATGTCATGCGATCTCATTCATGATCGATGTAATCGAGGATGTTCAAACCAGAATAAATATTCACCTTAAAAATTTTGATTTCACACAGGTTTGAACATTCTCTTGGAACCTCTTATTTGTGTGGCATATTGATTGATAAACTACAAGAGCTTCATCGTGGAGAGGTTGAGATCACAGATGAAGAATGCATTTGTATCAAAATAGCCGGACTTTGTCATGATCTTGGCCATGGACCTTTCTCTCATTTCTTTGATGGTGTATACATCAAAAGGCTAAGACCTGATTTGGAGTGGGAACATGAGGATGCGTCTTGCAAACTTTTTGATTTCATGCTCGAGAAAAACTCAGAACTTAGGCAGAGTTTTAAAGATTTTCGACTTGGAGAGGATGAGAAAAAATTCATCAAGGAACTTATCAAAGGTATTGCCAAACGCAGGGATCGTTACCTACATAGTCCACAAAGCTTTTTCATTTGAAATGTATAAAATAAGAAACACCTAATATTACAGACACAAATATTATTTGATTTTGATACGCTTTGATTCTGAATTCCCATTTGAATCTTAATGTCTGAAGCCTGTCACTGCTGTCTGTTCATTTTCTAAAGTAGCTATCAAAATGATGGCGCACTCTCTCTAAAAATGAAACTTTATCCTCATTGAGTTGAGATTTTGTTCCATCAAATTTCTCCTTTCTTGTCTGATATAATTCTGAAATAACAAAAATTGACATCCGTTGATAAGGCTTTCAGGTTTCTTATTACTGACTACTTTCATTATTTATTATTCCTCCCAAATTATTATTCCAGTAACACAACTCCACATTTATATTACAGTCCGAGACTTTATAAATTCTCGTTGTATGCAGGTAAAGACCCCAACAAAGAAGACGAAAGGTAGAAAGGATATGTCCATTTACAGGTCAACCAAAATGGTTTCTTTATGAAATCGTGTCAAACAAACGAAATGGTATCGACTGTGACAAGTTTGATTATTTTGCCCGTGACTGCGCTAATGTTGGAGTGAAATGTACTTTTGACCATCGACGCTACTTTCAAAATGTTCGCATCATGTCTAACCCTAATAACCAACAACTTCAGATCTGTGTACGCGACAAAGAGGTGTTTAACTTGTATGAATTATTCCACACCCGTTGGTCCCTCCATCACAGAGTTTACAAGCACAAAACTCAGGCACCAATAGAAGACCTGCTATATAAGGCGTTCAAGAAAGTTGACAAAGTCATGAAAATTTCCGAATCAGTGGAAAAAGCCAAGAAAAAGAAAAAAAATATGAAGCAATATTCTGTTTTAACAGATAGCATTCTCTACGATATACTGCGAAACAGGGACCCTGATTTCGCAGACGCAAAGAAGAAGATAAGACGCATACAAAAACGAAAGCTGTACAAATTTTGCGGCCAAAGCTCTCTAAAATCAAATGACGACAAAAAAAGTAAACTACAATCGAAGTTCGAATCTCTGCGAAATAAAATTGCCGAAGACTTGGTTAACTTATCGGAAGGAGAGTTGAAAAGAAAATATATTTGTTTCAAAAGTAACGATCAATTTTGGAATGAAGGGTAAAAATCCAGTTGAGGCTGTGATGTTTTTCGATAAATCTCAACGCAAACCATTTGAAATAAAGAGAGAACAAGTAAGTGAAATGTTGCCACGAAGTTTCCAGGACAGATATATCAGAGTTTACGCAAAAGAATCCGAAAGCGAAGAGGAATCCGAAAGCGAAGAGGAATCCGAAAGCGAAGAGGAATACGAAAGCAAAGAGGAATCCGAAAGAGAAGAGGAATCCGAAGGAGAAGAGGAATCCAAAAGCGCAGAAAAAAACAAAAACGCAGAACGAATGGAAAAGCTGATCGAACATATCAAAGATTCCTTCGAGAATTGGTGCCAAGAAAATGGCTTTGAAAAACCTTTTGGAGGATAAAGAAAGACATTTTGATGTCATTATCACAGAATAATGATTGTCACAGAATAAGGGTCACTCAGGTGTACATAGCGCGTCCTCATTTCGGCCATTATTCCAGCCAGATGATTAGGGTTTATAACTTGTTTTCAACCATCATAATTACATTACTTCATTATTGAATAATGAATTTGAGATTAAGAAAAGACTTTCGGATAATTGCAAAGGTTGAGAGCGAGTAAAAACCCTTATCAACCGGCTGGACAAAACATCAAGGTTCCAACACGAGTGACCCTTCTGTATATTTCTATTCTGTGTCGTTGTTAAGTAGCTCTGATTTAAAATTGTACTTAATATATTTTTCCATAACTTAATCACAAGAACGTATCCAGAATTCAAAACACCAATCATCATGTATTTAATGCAAACATTGCACTTAAAACAGTAAAAGTATAAAAATGTAAAAGATCGAAGCACAAGTGAAACATAGGGACGAACGACATCTCAACGTTTGTCATTTGTAGTTTATGTTAAATAAGCACAAATCGTATTAAATTCAATAAAATGATTCAACAAGTACGATAATGAAATTTCAACTTTCATTTAAAATGCATGCGAATCTCACCCGCCGCTTACTTTAAAAACAACAAAAGATTTTATAGTCAGTCCTCACCTGTCTTCTTTGAGAAGAAAAATAACATACAATCTCAAAGAATCTTCTGGACCTTATTACTTTGGGATTAAAGCTGGTAAAACTTTACAAAATTCATGATTAAAGTAAGTTTTGAGTCTTTAAGCAAACGTTTATTACAGCTACTTAATTTCTTTCAGTGAAACGTCATCAATCTCCCCTTGTTCTTTTATCAGACTATATATATAACCAGTCTCTTTATGAGATAAATTGTTGTACACTACTACTGACTAGTGTATAGTCTAGTCCTCTAAATCAGGGGTCTCCAAACTACGGCCCGTTGGGACTCTCAATCCGGCCCGCAGAGACACTTAGAAGCCAATTTCACCACTCACATTGAGAAAACTGAACAGACTAATTGTGATTTTGTTATGATATTACACTTGGTTGAAATTTAACCTTTAAATTTTGAATAAATATTTTCTTAGCTAATGAAGCTTGTGTGATGTGCTTCGTTTTGCGCATTTAATATACGTGACAAGTTTTTTTAAAATAGACATGTTTAGACATCTCATGATGCCATCTTCAGTATAAGTGAAATAATAAATGATACAAGGTTTATATAAAAGCAATATGATACATAAATTACAACAATAAAAAGGAATTAAGATAAAATTAAGGGGGAGCGTCCAAGCGTATTATAAACTAAACATTGTATTGAATTTAAAAACTTGAACATTGAGGTCAGGTTTATTTTTGTTGATGTGGAGTGCATCTTTGATTTTAAGGGAGAATGAGGTGACGGTAGTGTCGATGATTTTGAGGCAAGGGGGTGAATAGGCATTTTGAGGCAAGAAGGTGTGGGTTAGATATGAGAGTTTTGTCTGTTGTAGTATGTTCCCTGATTCTGGTGGATAAATGGCGCGAAGAGTCGCAAATGTATCTTCTGTTCCTTTTTATTGTTGTCATTTATGTATCATATTACTTTTATATAAACCTTGTATCATTTATTATTTCACTTATACTGAGGATGGCATCATGAGATGTCGAAACATGTCTATTTTAAAAAGTACTTCGTTTTATTAAAATATTCGCTCTTTGACCAGCGGTATACGGTTCGTCGGCCCTCAACATGCTTGATGAAAGTTCATGTGGCCCTCTGGCTGTAAAGTTTGGAGACCCCTGCTCTAAATGAAAATATGTTTTGAATTTGACTGTATTTTTGAACGTCGAGTACAAAAGCTTTTAAAATACGTATATTGAGAGCCTCACGTCATCAGTGATGTGAATTACAGGACAATTTTTCGTGCCAATGTCTGTTAAATGAGAACTTTGAAATCATGCGATACTCATAAAGTTAGGAAAAAGTTAACGTCTTCACAAAATTGAGAGATGAAGCTTCAAACAGAGAAATTAAACATGTAATCCTTCTGTCGGCAGAGGGGAGATTAGTAACTTAATTAAAGAACGCCTAACAAATAACGAGCGACATTTTTTCCTAACTCTAACATTATGGTCGGAATATGAATAGGCAAAGTGAGGATAATAAAACTCGCTTTCTGATTGCTCACCTCCGACTCGCATTTTGCATGTTTCATAGTTTCGCTTTTAGCGTTTTCATTATGTAAAATTTGGCAGTTTACATAATGTAATATGTTCAATTTCTTTTCAAATGACGTTTAGAAAAGTAATAGCCACCAAAAATTTTCTGAGCCAATCAAAGAGCATTATTTCACCGGCAGGTGACGCTTGCTATATATTTATTCACAATTTACGATTTGAAATTATGTACGTATAGGATACGTTGTACGACTATGATTATACATACATGTGTAAATGGCTATAGTCATAGTCATGTAACGTATCGTACAAATATTTCAACTAACTGCAGATAGAAAGTTCAAAACTTTCAATAAGTAATGCTCCAGACTTTGATTGTTTTATTTGCTTAACTATTTATCTTTGTTGTAAAATTGTACCTGACACTTTCTGAATGTAATAACTAACAACAATACATAAAAAAAACATATTTAGTCGATTCATATTAATATTCTATTGCAAATGCTTTGATTTCATTGGCTACTCTACTCACTATATTTTTACATAGATAGCAAGCAGCAAAGCAAGAGATAACGGGTAGCAAAAACATGGCTGCTGTCTCGCGTTTTACTAAGGTTTCTGACGATATATTTTATTGTTTAGATGAAAGACAATACAAAGAAGAGTAAAGTTGCCACTAAATTCGACTTAAAGATATTTAAATATAAAATAAAAAAGTTCCTTTAAAATAACTTTATATGTATCGAGTAACATTCGTTCGCTTTTAATAGCGATGTCAACAACATATGCACAAAACAATAAATTAATGAAAATTATACTAGCAACCTTTTTCTTCATGAATATTAAGATGATTCTACTAATAAACCATTGGATTGCTTGTAATCTAATTGGTAATTACAAGAATCCTACTCTTATTCTATAGCAAATGCTGTAATTTGATTGGCTATTATACTTCCTATTGAATTCTCATTAGATAGCAAGTAGCAGAAAATTATGGTTTCTGTCTAGCGTTTTACTTAGTGTCATACGATGAATTTGATTGTTTACTTGAAAGAGAATTCGAGAGGAGTTCGTTCACGAATTTGTTCTCGATTTCTACCGACGTAAGAAGTTGATTGAGGCTTCGCCATTATTAACTATCACCTCATAATATCTCGAGCTAGTAATCTAATTGTTAAATATCTCAAATGTACAAAATAATAAAAGGAAGTTGCAAAGCAAAGACAGCAAACTCTGCATGAGTGAAACAAATAGACAACAATTGACATTCAAATTTTGTGTTACGTAGATGAACACAATCAAAAGTAATATTGATTGTGATGATCATCCAATATTCATTGATAAAATATAACTATAGCATGGCGATTCGTCCAGATAGTATTCAATATCTATAAAATCTAATTTGCCAAAATCGTCAAAATTGGCCAGTCGGACATTACAGAGCATTACTGTATTACCCAGACTATGATTGATAAAATTTGAGTAAGCTATGATAAAATTTGCCAACAAGTCGGTTACCTACTAATTCTGCCGAGAGCTTCCGACTTCAACATAATCCATCCCAATCCAATACAAATAACCATATTTCTTACCGTCACTGTACACATCTATACATAAAACACCTGATGATAGACAACACCAAAAGCAGACGTCATAAACATCGCCAGGCATATCCACCACGTGAAATATGACGTCACAGCTCTGACAAGTTCCGACACGAACACGTGACGTAGATTTTGAACAGCGTTCACCGTGACATTTGAAACGAGCATTGATTTCTGAAGACGTTTCATTAAAGCATTGGTCGACTCCCAGTCGGTAGTACCTGTGAAGAAAATGCATTTATAACACTAGTTCTAACTGTCTTCGACAATATAACGGAGAAACTTTTATTTGCAACAAAGTACGTACAACCAAGGGACATAGGAAGATCTTTATTGAAGGGAAAGGAGGCCAATCCTTTACAATCTCAAAACAAACGCATTCGCAATGTTTACAAGTGAAGGTAGAAATTATTGTGGGGAAAGGGGCGGCTGTAGCTCTTGTCCTAACTGGTCAGCGGTCCCTTTAATCTACAGTTGGAAATTGACTACATGAGACCAGGTAGCTGGAATTCGACGAATTGTTAATGATTTGGGTACTATAAACTAACAAGCTTCTCCAATAAATTCAATATTGCTAGTT